AGTATTTCTATTGTTTTACTTGATCGGGGGGGGGGGGCGCGGCTATGCCCATGCTATGAAAGGATAGCCTGTTATGTATGATAGTGTTCTTTCTCTGTGTGTGTTTTTGTAAACGCAGGAAAGCAGGAAAAGACCGAAGTGCGACAAGCTTCTTCCAGCAGAGGGATCTGCACATTGCTTTTTTGCTGGAGTTTTGCTGATAGCAGGAACAGCTGCTGGCTCCTGGAAGGTGGGGGAGACGAGAGCATTTGAAGAGAGGCACAGATGTAAAAGTGACATCTGCCTGTGACAAAGGAGAGCAGATTAAATTAGGCAAGGAGGCCTTTCTGTTTGCAGTGAAATTGGAGAAACATATTCACTGTGTCTGGGACGGCAGCAAGGAGAAGCATTTGTGAGGAAGCGTTGACTACAGTTGGTACTGCCAGAGATGTAGCGTGGAAGTGATACAGGAGAAGCATTGGAAGAGACAATCCGTAGGGCATTTAGACAATTTCAGCCCTTGGACCTAATGGTGTTTTGGGGAGCAGTGTGCTTCCCTGAACGGTGATGAAATGGTTTCATTTACTTTGAAATGTGGCAGGCCAGCCCTGTTGTGTTTGAGGACCCTCCTAAGTCCTGCCCTGGTAGCTCCATTGGAGTCAGTAGCAGAAAATAACTTTAAAATGTTAGTGGCCTGCAAAACGAGTCTTCTGTCTGAGATTAACTCACGTGGAATAAACACAACCCCTAAATTTAGAACGCATTTGATTTGTTGACCTATCATATTTGTGTCCCACCATTCCATTTCTTTAAAAAATGGTTTACATTGGGGTGGTAGATAAGGTAAAAGGTAAAGGACCCCTGGATGGTTAAGTCCAGTCAAAGGCGACTATGGGGTTGCAGCGCTCCCCATAGCCTGACGCAGGTGGCACTGTGGTCCAAACCACTGAGTCTCTTGGGCTTGCCGATCAGAAGGTCGGCAGTTCGAATCCCCACACGGGGTGAGCTCCCGTTGCTCTATCCCAGCTCCTGCCAACCTAGCAGTTTGAAAGCACGCCAGTGCAAGTAGATAAACAGGTATCACTGCAGTGGGAAGGTAAACGGCATTTCCGTGCTCTCTGGTTTCCGTCACGGTGTCCCGTTGCACCAGTAGCGGTTTAGTCCTGCTGACCACATGACCCAGAAAGCTGTCTGCGGACAAACACCAGCTCCCTCGGCCTGAAAGCGAGATGAGCGCCACAACCCCATAGTCACCCTTGGCTGGACTTAAATGTCCAGGGGTTGATCTGTAGGTTTACCCAATGAAAACCAATGGACAGAGAGACCAAGAGCATTAGTTGATTTGAGACCAGCACTCACTACAATTTTGTAACTAGATTTACCAGAAAGGGTAGACCAGTTCTCTGCTGTTGGGGATGTATGTATCTATGTTTATTTAGATGAAATATTTAATTTCCAAAATAGTTATGTGCATGCATGCCTGTTTGGAGTACTCTGTACTATGACTAGATTTGAGGGGGGGCATGGGCGTAGTCAGGATTTTTGTTGGGGGGCAGGACTTTTGTAACGTGATTGGTCAGTTAGTTAAGTATCTCTATTGTTTTAATTGATCTGGGGGGGCAGCTGCCCCCCCGCCCCCCGGCTATGCCCATAGGGGTATATTGACAGCGAAATACCTTGAGCCCTGCTAGAAATCAGAGGGCAATGGCTAAAGTGTGTGGAATGACATCTCCCACTGCAAAACACGTTATTAAGAGCAGTCTCACTTTTCTTTAAAAAAATAAATAATCTAGGTCACTTGGCCCACTTTAACCACTCATTTTTCCACTGGAACTGTCAAAACGTGGCAAAATTATGAGCTGTATAGTGCATTTGTATGGGAATATTTTCACAATTATGGGGACGGGGGTGGCGCTGTGGATAAAACCTCAGTGCCTAGGACTTGCCGATCGCATGGTCGGCGGTTCGAATCCCCGCGGCGGGGTGAGCTCCCGTCTTTCGGTCCCAGCTCCTGCCCACCTAGCAGTTCGAAAGCACCTTAAGTAAATGGCGTTTCCGTGTGCTGCGCTGGTGCTGGCTCGCCAGAGCAGCTTCGTCACGCTGGCCACGTGACCCGGAAGTGTCTCCGGACAGCGCTGGCCCCCGGCCTCTTAAGTGAGATGGGCGCACAACCCTAGAGTCGGACACGACTGGCCCGTATGGGCAGGGGTACCTTTACCTTTATTTTCACAATCCCGAATTCCAGTTGTTTTGCCCTTGTCTGTTGTGCTGAATACGTTTCTGTTGCTAAGGCTGAAGTACCACTTGGCCCTTTAAATGGTGTTCCAATTTAGAAAATAATCCACTTCTTATCACTCATTCTCCCCTACTCCCTCATCTTCACTTAAAGGGAAATTAAGGTGTATTAAGAATTAACTGCTGCTTACTTCTCTTTTCTCCATGGCCGTCACTTGTTTAACAGCATACTAGCTGATTACTTGATTAATTAATCAATTCTGTTTGCATTAACATTTGTATGATTTGATAAGTATATTATAATTGTTTTAAATTGCTCTATGTTTGCTGCTTAGTGATTTATAAGTGGTTTATAAAGTCTTCTAAATAAACATAGCTTTAGCAAGCCTATCCAGGCATGTAAATAAAGTTATGGATGTCTGTTCTTAAACTACGTTTAGTAGTATTTACACAGGAAAGATTTGGGGGATACAGAATATACTTCAGTATTGGGCTGTATGTCCCTTAATCTGGAATTTCTCTCAAAAAATTTCCAATTGCTATCCAGGGATATCAAACGTAAGTCTCCTATCAGACATTTTAGGGAGCTTCAGAATAGCCCAAATACATTTGAACTGGACATTTTCTGGAAGCCTTTCTAGTTAATTTCAGTTTGCATCAGGAAAGTTTCTGGTGTTTGCTGCAGGGGTAGGGAACCCTTTTGAGATCAGGAGCCACTTTTAACAACCTTCTGAGGATCGTGTCCCAGTGGTGGACATCCCCAGAGCCAAAAGTACGCAAAGCAACGAATGGAAATTTTGCCTTTGTACATAGTTCTTCTGACATACATTCAAGCACGCCTTCTCTGTCCTTTGTCCTGACAAGCAAGAAGCATGATCAGAATTGAAGGACACATTCCAGCCAGGCAAAAACACTCTGGGCTTGAAGCATGGTCAGTGAGGGGTGTGGCCTGAGGAGAAAGTGGGCGTGTGCTGGGAGAGTTCCAATGCCCTGCCCCTCCAGGCCTGAGGTTCCCCTCCTATGCTCTGTAGAGTCATCAAATTTAGCTTATTTTTATCTTACTTGTTTTTAGTAAGCAAAGCTAAAATTTCTGAAACCAGACCCTCCAAGTGTCCCTATTTTCCAGGGACAGTCCTGGATTTACAGAAGCCATCCCAGTTTCTGATTGGCTCCTGGAATGTCCCACTGTTCCTTAGGATGTCCCTATTTTCATCGAATAAATGTTGGTGGGTATGAAGTTATGCGATTCCAAAGCCAAGGAGATGAGATACAACCTTTAGAAGACATCTGAAGGCAGCCCTGAATAGGGAAGTTTTTTAATATTTATTATTATTATTATTACTATTATTATTATTTATTATTATTATTATATATTGGAAGCCAACCAGAGTGGCTGGGGCAAGCCGGTCAGATGAGTGAGGTAGAATTGTTGTTGTTGAATAGGGCATCCCTACAGTGGTACCTCAGGCTACATACGCTTCAGGTTACATACGCTTCAGGTTACAGACTCCGCTAACCCAGAAATATTACCTCAGGTTAAGAACTTTGCTTCAGGATGAGAACAGAAATTGTGCTCCGGCAGCGCAGCGGCAGCAGGAAGCCCCATTAGCTAAAGTGGTGCTTCAGGTTAAGAACAGTTTCAGGTTAAGAACGGACCTCCGGAACGATTTAAGCACTTAACCCAAGGTACCACTGTATTTTCATTGGAGAAATGTTGCATCCATTCATGTCTATTAATGAATTTATGAAATGGGGTTATTTCCAGTGGAAAGATAAAGTACCTGGATCCCACCCCCCACCCTGTCTGATATCATTGATTATATTGTGATCTGTTTACCCCATGGTATAAAAGAGGAAAGGTGGGGCAATTGCACCAATTGATTTTCCAAGTCCTTCTTGGAGCAGCGTGGTCTGGAAATAGCGTCTATTACATGCATTTAAATCTGGCAGTTGGGTTGTTAAAATACAGCTAGGGGTCAACAGAAATGTGTTGAATTCTGCAGATGTCTACAGAGGCGCTGAAAGGCTCTCCACAAGCCTATTTCTGCCTAAGACGTTTTTAACCATCTCTACAAATTTTTCGATCTTTGTTTACAGGCATTTCTCCGGCTAACAGAAATGTAAATAGCACGTTAATTGAATTTCCCGGTAGTGGGTTGAAAAGTGCTGCTGAAACAGGCTGGAGAGAGAACTAATACAAAGATCTATAGCAGAAGCATCAAGAAAATCTGTGGTATGTATGTATTTATAAAATGATGGGGGCTGTGAAGAAATATTGAATATTTTGAGCAGGAGAAAAGAGTTGTGGCTACATTATTATCATTAAGTTATGGGTCTGTAGTCGTGGCGTAAAGGCAAATATTTTTTCAAATATGTAAGCAGATGGCCAGTTCACACATGGGACAGTTCTCGCAAGATTGCTCAAGGGAAGGATCCACTAATTTGTGTCTGCTAGTGATTGACCCACAAGCGGGTGTCCTATATGAGAGTTTGAATGGCGCTTCCCCATCATAAGAACATGGGCCGCCACCACACATGGTTGGTGGTAAGTCCAGGAGATGTTTTCATTGGCTGAATATCGTTTGAACATCAGGGGCTATGCTTACTTGATAACCGGCAACGCCTCTCTATAAATTCTGTGCTATGAGCCCTTAACATGTGAATGGTAAATTCAAGATAATGTTTCTCTTGAACATTAGATGTTCCTTATCTAGGGACGTGGGTGGCACTGTGGGTTAAACCACAGAGCCTAGGACTTGCCGATCAGAAGGTCGGCGGTTTGAATCCCCGTGACAGGGTGAGCTCCTGTTGCTCGGTTCCTGCTCCTGCCAACCTAGCAGTTCGAAAGCACGTCAAACTGCAAGTAGATAAATAGGTACCACTCCGGTGGGAAGGTAAATGGCGTTTCTGTGCGCTGCTCTGGTTTCAGTGTTCTATTGCGCCAGAAGCGGCTTAGTCATGCTGGCCACATGACCCGGAAGCTGTATGCCGGCTTCCTCAGCCAATAAAGCGAGATGAGCGCCGCAACCCCAGAGTCGGCCACGACTGGACCTAATGGTCAGGGGTCCCTTTACCTTTACCATAAACCCATCTAGTCTGCTTAGAACATGCACAGCCAACTGTGAGAGAGTGAGAATAAAACACAGCCCAGCACAGAGAGAAAATGCAGTCCCAATCTCAGAGAGGAACAAGCACAAATGTACACACACACACACACACACACACACACACACTATAAGTTTTATTAAATTTTCTGTTTTACAGTTTAGAATACTCATTTAAATATCCTTAAAATATCACTGACTTCCCTTCTTCTCTTTCCACGGTTCATTTTGCATATCATAAATCCCTGCTTATTTTACATAAACTAAACCATTAAGTATTCCATTATTGCATCCAACAAAACTTGTTTGCACTGTTGAATTTATCTTAATGCTGCCACCGTTTTCAAGTGTACACAATCTCCCCCCATATATTCAATAAACATTTTCCAATCTTCTCTAAACGTATGTTCTTCTTCTTCTCTTATTCTATGTGTTAGGTCCGCAAGCTGCACATATTCCACCAGCTTAAGTTGCCATTCTTTTTTATTTGGGACCTTGCTCGTTTTCCTTGGGGGGGGGGAATGGACAAATATACAAATATAGACCCACTCCACTGCCTAGTTTCTTCCCTCCTCCACCATCCTGCCTGCCCCAGATCAGTTCAGACTTTCTCTCCCTTGTTCAATGCATCTGGTCTGGTTACTGCTGCTGCTGTTACCCACAAACATACCTTTCATGTCTGTTTTGAACAACATTTTTACAGAGAGCTTTATCTTCCTCCTGTTCGACTGTTCTGCTCTAGATCCCAGCCTGGAAAAGTTCACAAAGTTGAAAGGAAATGAGGGGAAGCAATGCTCTTCTCACTGCCTCTCTCTGCTCTGTGTACCTTTTAAAACTGCGATTGATCCCTTCCCACTTTGAAAAGGAAGGTAAAAAGGCGGAAAGGGGTCTCACAGGAATCAGGGGAAATCATTATGGGTGCATTTGTGCCCACGGGCACCAAGTTGGCAGTGCCAGGTCTTGGGTGATGCACCAGTGCATGACCTAATCCAGAACAAAACACTGCGTACATGGAAGTCTGCTTCTACTTGTGAGTTGCTCTCACGCAGGTTGACGGTCCTATTTATGATATCATGTCAATATATAAAATCCAACTGTTAGGAGCTGCTGAAAATAGATTCTGCGCTATTACACATGCTATACAATTTCTGTTCTCATAGAAATTGTATAATGAAATGTGTGACAATGAAGAATTTGTTTATTGCAACTTTTAATTGAATTTCCTGGAATGTAATAGCGTAAATCTCCACACACAAAAATGTGCTTTTAAATATTCAGTCTTTGTCAATGGGTTGTACCACAGATTAGAAAAGAAGCACATTATCAGTACCAAACCAAACCATCATAAATAATATGAAATGAAAAAAATAATAACAAGGTACAATTTAACCAAAGTTAAGAACTTTTAAAGCCTACCAATGGCTTGGGAGAAAACTAAGTGCGCTCTTAACTTTTCCCCAATGGAGTGAAAATGCTTAATTTTGGCTGGATTATACCCGTAATCCGTATGAAACCCAAATTACTGTGTGGTCTTCTAGATTGATCACACTGGAGCAAATGCCATATTATTTCTAAATTAGTCACTTTTTAATGTATTAGAGGCTGGGGGGGGGGGAGATAAGAGTGCTTTGTAGCCGACCCACCCCATTCATCCAACAGGATAATATATTAGTGAAGGACATCTGTCAAACTTGTCTTCTCCTTAGTTTAGCTTCTAATTGCCATGGAAAGACTCTCTGCTTCTGGGTCCAATTTATGAACACACTGTCTGCTTTTCAATGTTAAAACCCCTTAATTGCTCCTGTTACTATCATTGGCTGCAATCTTGACCCCATGAACGTCAGGGCGGCCGTTGCCTTAAGAGGAGGAAAGATCGCTCCGGCTTCTTATTGCGGCTCGCTCCGCACGCAAGACAACAAAACGTGCCATTTTTAAGGATACGTTTATAAATGGTTTTTTCAATTTCTTCTCAGGTAAGAAATGTGGCCTCCTTCATCTAAATCCAGCTCCCCGTACGATTTACATTAGACAACACTCCATCAATAAAACCATCAAAAATTATCTACAGCATCGGAGACAAAAGATATTGTGTCAAGTTGACACTAATCGGTTAATTCCAGTAAACCTTCCAAGAAACAAAAGCTTGTTGTCTATCACTAATGAGTGTGTGAGGGCCCCCTCCTAGTCCTATAGCAATGCATATCTATAGAGATCTATCTGGCAGACACATTGCCCAAGGGCTCTATATGGAAACCCCTGGACAGAATCTATAGTTAATGATGTTGACCCTGCTTCCCCCAGCAGGGTTGAATTCAAGACCTCCTTATATCTGACAGCTGATGGTGTATATTATGAGGATAATATAGACTGCTTAGCGCTCTTCTGATTTGAAACATTGGCAGAGTTTAAAATTCTCTGCTTGGACCTTTGTGATAACATGCTAGACCTGGTTGTGCTATTTGATTGAGAATGGTGCAAAGCAACTGTTGAGAAGGAGCAAGGAAAAATGACAAGCAAGACCAAGTCTCCTCGTTGTTTAGATCAGGTAGCAAATCCAATCCAGAAACTTTTTAGGGATGTCGCAGAGTATCGCCTGACCTTCTCTGGCCTATCAAGGTTAAGAAGCTATCTTGGTAGGTATGGATGGTCTCTCAGCAATCGGACCCTTTGGGCAGAGCGGGATGGTGGCACACAGACGGAATGGCTGCCCTAACATCCATCAGGTCACAGGTTCAAGACCCCTCTATGGGCTCAAGTCCAGACACTCAAGTCCCAATTTCATGTTCGGAGGTCAGGGAGGGGAGAACATATTAAGATGTCTTGAAATACAGCGCGTTCCAAAGGTCCACTCTGAGAGACATGTGAGATTAATTGCAGGAAAGCAGCAGCGTATTTGCTATTTATTTATTTTAATTATTTTAACTATGGCAATATTATCAGCAAAAGAAAAACCTGCTTTGTGTGTGTAAGAGAGAAAGGCAGGGGTCAGTGAGTTTTCCTGAGCAGACCTTGCAGGGATGCATAGGAACTGAGCAAGAGTATGAAAGGTAAACAGGGATGTGGGTGGTGCTGTGGTCTAAACCACAGAGCCTAGGGCTTGTCGATCAGAAGGTTGGTGGTTCGAATCCCCGTGATGGGGTGAGCTCCCGTTGCTCGGTCCCTGCTCCTGCCCACCTAGCAGTTTGAAAGCACGACAAAGTGCAAGTAGATAAATAGGTACCGCTCTGGCAGGAAGGTAAACGGTGTTTCCGTGCGCTGCTCTGGTTCGCCAGAGGCGGCTTAGTTATGCTGGCCACATGACCCGGAAGCTGTCTGTGGACAAACGCCGGCTCCCTTGGCCTATAGAGCAAGATGAGCGAGCAACCCCAGAGTCCTCCACGACTGGACCTAACAGGCAGGGGTACCTTTAGCTTTACCTTTATAAAAGGTAAAAGGTGAAGGTGAAGGACCCCTGGACACTTAAGTCCAGTCAAAGGCGACTGTGGGGTTGCAGCGCTCATCTCACTTTCAGGCTGAGGGAGCTGGCGTTTGTCCACAGACAGCTTTCCAGGTCATGTGGCCAGCATGACTAAAGCACTACTGGCGCACGGAGGACTGTGATGAGTGCCAGAGTGCATGGAAACACTGTTTACCTTCCCGCTGCAGCAGTACCTATTTATCTACTTGCACTGACGTGCTTTCAAACTGCTAGATTGGCAGGAGCTGGGACAGAGCAACGGGAGCTCACTCCGTTGCTGGGATTCGAACTGCCAACCTTCTGATCGGCAAGCCCAAGAGGCTCAGTGGTTTAGACCGCAGTGCCACCCGCATCCCAATGAGCGTACCAATGAGCAAGAGCATGCTAGCCTTTGGTAACATAGCTGGTGCTAGCAAACTGGTGACCCTAAGCAGAGGCAGTTTTAGGGTAGCATGACCGGTGCCGTCGCCCTATGCCCCACCCCACAGGGGACTGCTGTAGAAGGGAACCTGAGAGGTGGGAGGGCTCTGGATTTTAACATTGCACGGGGCGCTGCTGAAATTTGAAAGTCCAAAGTATGCCACTGCCCTGAGATGATAATTATATTTATTACTGGCTGCTTATCCCCCCCCCCAGGAAAGTGAAAGTGAAAAACATAAAGAACAAGGAGAAACAACCTAAAAAATTTACATGCAGATGAGAGAATGATATAGCCAGTGCTTTTTTTCTGGGGGGACGCAGGGGTTTGCATACCCCTAAATGGTGCTTTTTTCCATTAAAAAAATGTTTAGGGGTAGTCTCATTTTGACTTAAGAAAAATCACCATTTTGTAGTTCAAATTGGGAAAAGAAATACAGTAAATGGACAAAAGTACAAAGATTCGCAAAATGTTTAGGAGTATGCGTACCCCTGCGTCCCTGGATTAAACGTCAGTGTCTTGGCTGTCATCCAGTCCATCCACGGTCACACTTTATTTATTCATTTATTTATTTATTTATTTATTTATTTATTTATTTAAATATAAATAAATATATAAATTTCTATTAAATTTATATACTGCCCTTTATCCGCAGGTCTCCTTGCAGATGTAAACAAGAAATAGAACTTGTGTTGTCAGCATATTGATGACAATGCAGTCCAAAGCTATGGATGACCCTACTCTTTCATGTAGTTAATAATAATAATAATAATAATAATAATAATAATAATAATAATTTATACCCCTGCCCTTCTGGCTGAGTTTCCCCGGCCACTCTGGGCAGCTCCCAGCAGAATATTAAAAACACAATAAAACATCAAACATTAAAAACTTCCCTAAACAGGGCTGCCTTCAGATGTATTCTAAGAGTCAGATAGTTGTTTATATCCTTGACATCTGATAAGTGGGCATTCCACAGGGCGGGTGCCACCACCGAGAAGGCCCTCTGCCTGGTTTGCTGTAACCTCACTTCTCGCAGGGAGGGAACCGACAGAAGGCCCTCGGAGCTGGACCTCAGTGTCTGGGTTGAACGATGGAGTGGAGATACTCCTTCAGGTATACTGGACCGAGGCCATTTAGGGCTTTAAAGGTCAGCACCAACACTTTGAATTGCATGGGAGATAAAAATCAAACCCTGTGGCATCCCGCATTCCCTGGGGCCAAACAAAATTCCCCAGCGCTACTCTCTGAAGATGGTCACCTAAGTGGGACTGGAACCACCACAAAGGAGTGCTGCTCACTACCAACTCAGGCAGCTGCTGCAGAATAATATCATGATGGAGGGCATTGAAAGCCGTTGAGAGATCAAGGAGGATTGACAAGGGACGCCCCTGCTGGCTCCGTCCAGGCAAAGGTCACCATACAGGGCAATCAAAGCATTTTCCAGGCCTAGACCTCAGTGGACATGGATCTGGAAATTTGGTTTTGTCCAAGAGATTTGGCCCCTTCTTATATTGCCTAGAAAAGTTGTCATTAGTCAAGGAGCCAATGCCACAGCTACCAAACAGGATTATCGCGATGATAAAAAAAATGTGGTAGGGCTGCACTGCCTTGAGCTAGATTAGGTAAAGGTAAAGGGTCCAGTCATTAGGTCCAGTCGTGGCCGACTCTGGGGTTGCGGCGCTCATCTCGCTTTATTGGCCAAGGGAGCTGGCGTACAGCTTCTGGGTCATGTGGTCAGCATGACTAAGCCGCTTCTGGCGAACCAGAGCAGTGCACGGAGAGGCCGTTTACCTTCCCGCCAGAGCGGTACCTATTTATCTACTTGCACTTTGACGTGCTTTCAAACTGCTAGGTTGGCAGGAGCAGGGACCGAGCAATGGGAGCTCACCCCGTCATGGGGATTCAAACCGCCGACCTTCTGATCGGCAAGTCCTAGGCTCTGTGGTTTAACCCACAGCGCCACCCACATCCCTGAGCTAGATTATCCACCCCAAAAACCATTTTGTATGAAAATAAAAATTAAGTGAACAGCGTTACATGGAAATTAGCACAGGGACATCAGGAGCTAGTGCCAATATAAATGTTGGAGAATGTTTAGGAATTCTGCCTCCCTCCCTTTCTATTCTCACGTTTATTCATCTGAAGATGAAAAAGTACCCAAGACATACTTCCAAGACATGGAGAGTGCTGGCTGAAACGATGACAGGGGCTACTGTTAAAAATTAAATTGTGCCTTATTTCTGTTGCAGTTCTTGTGCGCCACATTTGCGAATAGTAGCGAGAGATTTAATGATCACATATTTTTGATCTTATTTCCCTTTGGTCGATGGCAATTTTTTTCTGTTAATGTCGACTTAGAGCTCAAAGTAATTTAGTAATTGATTCTAAGCACGGCAGTTCGCCAATGGCAGCTCTCCATTCAGGGAAATATCTTTGCTAATTTTATCCTCTGGAATGAGATTACCATGCTAATCTCCTCCCAGCCCTCAGTAGCTTGGTCATTGGGGACTCGCTGATGCAAATTATGTTATTAAACACAGCCCACTCCGCCCAACACAAGGGGAAAATGAGAGCCGAACAGAAAGAAGCAACTGAGGGGCGGGGGGAAATTGGCAATATCAATTCTCTACGAGTGTTATTTTCCAGGGTCCTCTTCATTGCTTGGCTGTCATGTGTGAAGGCCCCAGATAGTCACCTTTTATTTCATTTTATTTTTTAAATAATATTTATTAAAATTTAAAAGGTTACAAAAAGAGAAAATGGAAAACAGCATATTAAGCAAAAACAAAACATCACATCACAATAAAGAAAAAAAACCTAGAAAAATAAAAACAATTAGAAAAAAGAAAAAAAATACAATGAACCTTCCCATAACTTATCTTTCATTTGCTTGTTTCCTTGACCTCCTCACACCTCCCTTTTTTGTATTCTAGTTCAGTTAGCTATTTTAGCAAGTCCTTTCCATCTTTTCCAGTTTTTGTCCTATATTTTATCTTAATATAATGTAACTTTACTTTCCCTCCTTTCACCATTTAACAATCTGTTTTTTCTTAATCCTTTATAGCATTTCTGCTAAAACCACATTACTTCATTCCAACATCCTTCTAACATTCCTTAATTTTACAATGTTTCTGTAAATAAACTTTAAATTTCTTCCAATCTTCTTCCACTGACTCTTCTCCCTGGTCTCGGATTCTGCCAGTCATTTCCGCCAGTTCCATGTAGTCCATCACCTTCATCTGCCATTCTTCCCGGGTGGGTAGATCTTGTGTCTTCCAGTACTTTGCAATAAGTACTCTTGCTGCTGTTATGGCATACATAAAGAAAGTTCTAGCCTTCTTTGGCACCAATTGGCCGAGCATGCCCAGGAGAAAGGCCTCTGGTTTCTTCAAGAAGGTATATTTAAATACCTTTTTCATTTCATTATAAATCATCTCCCAGAATGTCTTAATCCTTGGGCACGTCCACCAAAGGTGAAAAAATGTACCTTTACATTTTCAACATTTATTATCGGGCAAATGATAGATAATCACCTTTTAGAGACAAGTTGCGCTTGGTTTTTAAGTTTGCTTTGTTGTTATTTATTTAGAAGATTGACAAACCGCTTGGCCAAAGAGCTTTCCAACGCAATGTGCAAATAGAGCTGCGGTTAATGAACAGCTAAAATCCAACAACCAGTAAAAACAGCAAATGTATGTAGGGCCATCATCTTTAAAATACATCAGATCGATAAAGCCTGCAAAACAAATATACAGTGGTACCTCGGGTTACATACGCTTCAGGTTACAGACGCTTCAGGTTACAGACTCCGCTAACCCAGAAATAGTACCTCGGGTTAAGAACTTTGCTTCAGGATGAGAACAGAAATCGTGTGGCGGCAGCGGGAGGCCCCATTAGCGAAAGTGGTGCTTCAGGTTAAGAACAGTTTCAGGTTAAGAACAGACCTCCAGAACGAATTAAGTACATAACCAGAGGTACCACTGTATTTTGTAAAGCGCTGTGTACTCTGATAGGCTGTGCTTCAGTGGAAAGTGCTATCGTTTTGCTGTTTAAAGAGCAGCATCGCTCTTGTGTCTCCAACTATGTGCACAATATATCATGCTTGAAATAAATATAAGTTCTTTTATATTATATCAGCCAACGTTTCACAGAGCGCTGGCCATGTGCAGAATGCAGAACAGAATGCAGACGACACTGCCCTTGACCAGACAATCAGCAACTGGTGGACAAAGAGCCAACGTTGGCACCTATAAAGGGTTATTTGTTTTCATAGAACCATATAATTGTTGAGTTGGAGGGGGACCACCAGGGTCATCTAGTCCAACTCCGCTGCGATGAAGGAATCGTTTTGCTCGACGCGGGGCTCAAACTCACAAACCTGAGATTAATAATCTCGTGCTCTACCAACTGAGCTATCTGGTCCCCCAGAAACTAATGCAGAAGGAAAAGATTATATCTGAAAGGGGGTTATGCTGGTCTACAATCGTAATAAAGTGTTGTTGTTGTTGTAAGGGGAAAGTAGCTGAAGCCCCAACACTGGCCAATAGCGTGCCATGGAATTGTGGCTCACCAACCATCACCCCTCCTCAAAAAGGACCCTATTGGCTAACCACAAGCTTACATCTACATATTCTTATTTTACCAAGTGTGACTTTGACAAGGCAGCGCAATCATTTTTCTTTATGTGTTGAACTGCTTTCCCCCTCTTCTTGATTCTTAGTGTGCAAATGCATGAGCTCAATTACACTTGAACCTTACTTTGAAGCATTGCACGCATCCACGGATAACCCCGTTATGAAATTCAAGAGGCCTAATGCAATTTGGTCCGGGAAGATTTACTTGTTAAAAGGAAAACAACTTTCCCATAAATAATTTACTACAACGGGGGGGGGGGGGGGAATAATCCTTGCTCCCATCATCCTTGCATTGAAACTAAGCAAATAGGATCATGCTCGATGAGTTATTTTTAAATTGCTTGGAAGTGCACAACTCTCATATCATTGTCAATAAATTGGGGGGAAATAGCTGAAGAGAAGAAATTGCTAGATGTCTTGTAGCTTTACAGGGCAAGTTGATCACAGCTGAAGAAAATGTTTAAAGCTTAAGAGCCTATTCCATGATATTGAGAGTCATTGGAAAATGTAATACATTGAATCAAAAGCCTGTTGGTTTAGAAAACAATATAATATGCAACATGCATTTAAACACACACACACACACACACACAGCTGGAGCTGCACTGTTGGCCACACTCCCAAAAGGAAGCTGATCATATTCACAGTATGGGGTTTGCAGCCAAATCACAAATGCATGGTTTGCTAGACAAGTCTAGGGCTAGTACACAGACAGTTCTTTAACTTCCTAGAGAGGACCCTCTGTGTGGTCATTTTCCTGCCTCTTCTAGGCAGGAATTATGTAACAACAGATAATCTTTTATACAGTGGTACCTCAGGTTACATACGCTTCAGGTTACATACGCCTCAGGTTACAGACTCCCCTAACCCAGAAATAGTACCTCGGGTTAAGAACTTTGCTTCAGGATGAGAACAGAAATCGCACGGCAGCAGTGGCGGCGCAGGAGGCCCCATTAGCTAAAGTGGTGCTTCCGGTTAAGAACAGTTTCAGGTTAAGAACAGACCTCCGGAATGAATTAAGTACGTAATCAAAGGTACCACTGTACTTCCTCCTGCACCATACTTCCAAGCTAAGACTGGGGCTTCCAGTCACACATACCCTATTTTGAAGCCAACTTTTGTATTTTGCACTTGAGAAGTCTCCTTACCTGCATTGTATCTGCTGCCTGCATTGAAATGTAAGTAAAGTCTTTTCTGATCTGGAACGATTTTATGTTGGTTCAATGGATTTATAACTTACAAGTTTTAAAACTATTTATTTTTATATTGTCTTTCTGCCCAAGGCGGATTACAATTTTCAAACTTGGTTTACCGTCATGTAGGAAAGGGGTTGATTTGGTAAGCCATCCCTGGAGAGCTTTCTCCTGAAAGGTGAGATATAATATTCAGAACAAATATGAATTATATTGGGTTTAGAATTGAATGGGCATATCTTTCTGGCAGTGGTCAAGTGTGTGGCTTCAGGTTTTGCTACCTTCTGGTTTTAATGTAGTCTGATTGCATGGGAAAGGGGATAAGAACATTAGAAAAGCTCTGCTTGTTCAGAGCAAAGGCCCACATAAGCCAGCATCCCGTTATCTCAGTGGCTAAGCAGATGCCCATGGGAAATCTGTAGGCAGAACCAGAGTATAATAGCACATTCCCACCTGAAACCCAGCATACTGCCTCTGACAGTGGTGGAAGAACATAGCCATTTTGGCTTGCAGCCATTGATAGAAGAGAAGAAGAAGAGTTTGGATTTGATATCCCACTTTATCACTACCTGAAGGAGTCTCAAAGCGGCTAACATTCTCCTTTCCCTTCTTCCCCCACAACAAACACTCTGTGAGGTGAGTGGGGCTGAGAGACTTCAAAGAAGTGTGACTGGCCCAAGGTCACCCAGCAGCTGCATGTGGAGGAGCGGAGACGCGAACCTGGCTCACCAGATTACGAGACTACCACTCTTAACCACTACACCACACTGGCTCTTATAGCCTTATGCTCCATGACTTTGTCTAATCCTCTTTTAAAGCCATCCTACTTGGTGGTCTTGCCAACCCAGCAGTTCGAAAGCACGTCAAAGTGCAAGTAGATAAATAGGTACCACTCTGACGGGAAGGTAAACGGCCTCTCCGTGCGCTGCTTTGGTTCGCCAGAAGCAGCTTAGTCATGCTGGCCACATGACCCGGAAGCTGTACGCCGGCTCCCTCAGCCAATAAAGCGAGATGAGCGCTGCAACCCCAGAGTTGGTCACGACTGGACCTAATGGTCAGGGGTCCCTTTACCTTTACTTGGTGGTCTTCACTACATCCTGTTAGAGAAAATTCTATAGTTTAACTATTGACTGCATGAAGAAGCATTTTCTTTGGTCTGTCCAACATTGACTGGCTCCAAGTTCTTACATTGTGAGGGAGAGAGAAGCACGTTATCTGCTTAATTTCGCACATTTCTCTAGCATGTTGCCTCTCACTCATCTTTGGTCCTCCAGATATTGTTGAACTGCATCTCACATCAGTCCTAGCCAAGAGGACAAATGGTCAGGGATGATGGGAGTTGTAGTCCAACAACAGAGGACCCCAGATAGTCCCTGTCTTAATAGAACCCAAACATTTTGGCCTACAGGGTTTACGAATGTGATGTATGCTGCCTCCGTATTATTTAAGAAAACATTCGGATTGCTCTGGTTGTCTTCGAAGTTAATTCGATAACGTAAAATGAAAGCTAGTTACGTGTCATAAAACATGATGCAAACTTGTTAGCGTCAGACGAAAGACAGTGGAGCAGCTATCATGATAGGTAAATTCAATATGTCAATGTGTGTGTGTGGTTCTCCCTTTCCACATGACATTCATGAAGTAAATAATAATGTTTGCTTCCAAATAACAGCATCTCTCACAACTCTCCCTGGTTGCCTGTGCTTACATTAAGTGCTGCCTCTTTTTCAAGCTGATGAGAGATCGTTTCAAGTGTAAATATTCCAAAGAAGCGTAATTTCAGATTATGCTATTGGGGGGGAATGTAGAGAGCAGGATGGCTGATGCAGCTAAGCAACTTCCTTAAAACAGGATTCTCTTGCCGTTCTAAGAAACCCGTCTGCATTTTCCAGGCTCTCTGCTATTGTTAGGCTCCATTACAAGTTGCTCTATAGCAGCCTGTTGTCTATCTCTCTGCACGTTGACCTTTGTTGTAAGATCTGCTATAGACATCACAAACTCTCACATCAATTTACTACAATTGGATGTGGCATCTTGCGGCTAATTTGATTTCTGCAGAAGTGCACCTGGCTCTGTTTTTCCCTATAGAATGTGGAGGGAGCTTCAAGTCCTCCCAGATGCCATCTATCTGACTGGCCCATGTGCTGCTCAAGGTCTAAGCTGTTTGTCTTCATTGCCCCAAATGCAAGCAATCACAAAAGAAGAAGAAGAACCATTACAGAATGCAAAATAAAAAATAAAAGGGGGGGGGAGAGGAAGCAAACATGTAAGCTTGATTTTAATGCCTGTGTAAAGGTAAAGGTAAAGGTAAAGGGACCCCTGACCGTTAGCTCCAGTTGCGGCGCTCATCTCGCTTTATTGGCCGAGGGAGCTTCTGGGTCATGACTATGCCACTTCTGGCGAAACCAGAGCAGCGCATGGAAACGCCGTTTACCTTCCCGCCGGAGTGGTACCTATTTATCTACTTGTACTTTGATGTGCTTTCGAACTGCTAGGTTGGCAGGAGCAGGGACCGAAAAACAGGAGCTCACTCCATCGCGGGGATTCGAACCACCAACCTTCTGATCGGCAAGCCCTAGGCTCTGTGGTTTAGCACCACCCGCATCCCTTTTAAATTCATTAAATGCATTTTCCATTGTTTGTGAAAGCAGAGAAGATCTTCCTTTTGAAGGAGGGGAAAGAAAACAATGATATTTGCTGATAATAAAGTATTAAACATGTTTGATAGTTTTCAGCTAGATGAAACTAATGACAGAAGATACCTACGATGGAGAAATTACCAAATCCAAAATCCTACTGGGCTCATGTTGACAGTTTGGTGGTAGTGGTGGCATTTAGTCTCCTTCCTTTTTTGGGGTCTTTTGTTGTTGCTTCTCATATTTTATATCCTATCAGTCCCAAGCTGTGCTATATGACAGGGTTGGACCAGTATTTTTTGAGAGCCAGTGTGGTGTAGTGGTTAAGAGCGGTAGTCTCCTAATCTGGTGAACTGGGTTCGATTCCCCGCTCCTCCACATGCAGCTGCTGGGTGACCTTGGGCCAGTCACACTTCTTTGAAGTCTCTCAGCCCCACTCACCTCACAGAGTGTTTGTTGTGGGGGAGGAAGGGAAAGGAGAATGTTAGCCGCTTTGAGACTCCTGAAGGGGAGTGAAAGGCGGGATATCAAATCCAAACTCTTCTTCTTCTGCTGCTGCCTGAGGTGGAGCAGTAAATGATGCCTCTCATCACAAGTCAAAGTCCACACTACTTAGGACTGGAAATATTATTTTGGCACCTGGCAGAAAATCCCACAAGCACCTCTCCCCCTCCTTGGTCGTAGAAACACAATCATAATATTGCACTTAGATTATTTCATAAACAGATCACAGATGTGAGGAACCGTTGGCCCTCCAGAGGTTGCTGAACTACAACTCCCATCAGCCCCAGCAAACATGGCCAATGACCACTGAAGGGAGCTGCAGTTCTGTAAAAACTGGAGGCCCAAAGGTTTCTCACACCTATATTTTGTAACACCCATCTGCTGAGGTGCCATGTTGCTGTGTCTAATAGTACAGCTAGCCCTGCTACCTGAACATCCCCATTTGTTAATTTCTGAGCCAGTGTCCAATGACTTCTAACTCCTTAACAGCTACTAAAGCAGTTTTAGCAAAAATAAAAATAAAAGAATAAAAAATGGACCAATCCTGACCTGTAAAGACTCAATAGGCAACATCTTTACTGTGCAACAGATTTAAATGTGATACTAAGATGGAAGGTGGCATAATGAAAAATTTGCTCTAGAACACTATCCTTTTATTGATTTTTCAGAAGCAAATGATTGTATTGATATTAACGTTCACATATCTTGTTCAACACTGTAATTAAATATGCCTGTGTTATTTATATTTTGTGTGTATTGTGGTTCATCTTGGCACTTTGTATATTACGTGCACTTTGTATTAATAAAGAAATAAGCAAAAATATTGGTAGTTATTAAAAAACAATAATTTTATATTTTATATTGTTTTCAACTTGGAATAATTTTACACTCCTACAGCACTGCATGTGAAAAACAACATCAATTGGTTTGCTTAGAGGCTTCTGGAAAGCAGTAGAAATCCAGTTAAAGTGGCAGCGCTGCATTTTCTCATTGGCGTTGTGGCTGCTATTTAATGCAGTAAAGTACAATCAGTCTCAAAATACTTCCAGGGGAACCTGAAAATCCAAGTATTACTCTGGGCACTTTCTGCTGATTGGAGAGCAACCTACCAGAACAGTCCTTTGTGTGTGGCACTATGGTTTGTGAAGGTCCCATATTCTGGAAGTACTCTAAATGAATAAACCCTTTTGTCAAATACTGTATAGTGCTTTTGTGTTGCAGAACTATTGCACTGTTTCAGTGCTCAAAGGGTAAAGTTGCCTTGCTAGAACAGGGCCGGCCCACCCATGAGGAAAGGTGAGGTGATCACCTCAGGATCAACAGGGGCAGCAGATCCTGTTGTAGCTCTTTCTTCCCGGCTTCTCCGTTATCTTCACTAACCCCTTCTTCCCTAGCAGGGAGGCAGGTGCCATTTTGTGGTTTGCCTCGGTGTCAAAATTTCACAGGCAGGATCTGTGCTAGGAAAATATCATCTCCTGCCTAGCCCATCCATTGTTGCCACACTTGTGGTGTGAGATACGTGTTCTTGCGAAGCGCAGTTGGCTAAAAAGCACAGTACAGGCCAGGTTTCCACAGCAGTGACAAGTGTGCATAGGTACAATTACACACACTTATGTGGGAGCAACTTTCATTGAAATCCCTAGTTGAGAGAAGACTGGGTGGTGATGGTTTTTGTTTTTTCCATTTTCAAAAAATGATGTTCTGGAAAGTCCCTTAGAATCGAAGACATCCTTCAGTCGATGACATTTCCTTTTAGGTTCTACAAATGCGCAGATTCGATACAAAACCTCCTGAACACCAAGATATATTCAGAACTTTTGTCATGGGCGTAAAATGAAACCTCACCTTTAATCGTGAACATTATGTATGCATTCCTGTTCACTGCTGATGCTACTTTGCTTTTGGCAAAGGAAAGAGGAAGTTGTTTTGTTTAGAGGAGTCATCTTGTGCCTTTTGTCCCTAAGTTTTTTGTATCCTTCCTAAAAATGTAGAAAGAATTTCTGGGAGGATCTGGAAACCTTTGGGTTTCCTCAAACCACTCCAGAGGGTTTGGGCTTTGTTGAGGCAAAGCAAATACCGTTGTGTTTGTAGAGCCAAACATTTGGCAATGCATTGTGGGCCAGGCCCCATTAGAAGGCTCTACAACAACCATCACTCTCTTTATATAGAGAGAGATGCTTCCCCCCTCCTTTTCTTTAGTAATGGTTTCTCTTTTTAAAACCATTTGTCTATAATTCCCATTTACTGCACTGACACCTAATGGCTGGCAAGGAAGAATTGATCTCCACGGGTCTTGTTTGTTGCTGGACAAAGAGGCTTCTGCATTTTTCACTAGCAGGGGATGTATAGATTGTGTTTCTTCTCGAGCAAACAATGTTATTTGGATACCACCATTCAGCTGCAGGAACAAAGCATCTGAGGCTGTGTTGTTTTGTTCCTTTTTTAAAGCTGAGTTATTCCAAAAGTCCACTAGAGGTACAGAGGCAGTATCGACCAAGGTGATCAGTGTCAGCGGATGCATTATGTCAAAGCCAGAAGTTCTGGGTAGGACTGTTCTGAAATCAATTGTGGCTAAAGTAATTCTCTAGAGATTATTAAAATGTTTACCAGCACAATCCTATACATGTCTACTCAGCAGCAAGTGCCACTGAATTCAGTGAGACTTACTCTCAGATGAGTACAGGATTGCAGCCTAAGTTAATTAGTATGGTGATGATGATAACTAAGATCATCATAGAATGGTCTTATACTCTCCAACATTTCTCCAATGAAAATAGGGATGTCCTATTCCATCATCATTTTATTATTTACACCACGCCCATCAGACTGGGCTGGGCCAGCCACTCTGGGCCGCTTCCAACAGAGATAAAAACATAATAAAACATTAATCATTGAAAAAACTTCCCTATACAGGTCTGCCTTCAGATGTCTTCTAAAGGTTGTATAGTTACTTATCTCCTTGGCTCAAGGGTTGCATAACTCCATACCCTCCAACATTTCTCTGATGAAAATAGAGATGTCCTAAGACCTAAGGGACAGCGGGACATTCCGGGATCAAATTAAAAACCGGGACGGTTTCTGTAAATCCGGGACTGTCACTCAAAAATGGGGACACTTGGAGGGTCCGTGGTCTGCTGATCAGTTAATAGACAGTTGTGGGCCTGCCATTGTGAATCAACATGCTAGCTAAACAGACCTAGCTCTGTCCAGTTCTGGGAGAGCTGGTTTGTGTGTTATAGAACTGGTGCAGTACCATACACCAGTGGCTCTCTCAAGAACCATGAGCTTACATGAGCACAGCTAATGATGTAAGTAGTACCAACAACAGTACTGGGTTATGGCAGAGCGAAGTCTTAGTGTAGGAACTTGGATTATTCTGCATTTGAAAGTGGTTTTGGGAGGTTCTGATCTCATATGCTTCATTTTTTGTAAGCCACTTTGGGCCTCTGCATAAAGCTGGGCATTATTTATTTGCTTGTATTATTATTATTATTATTATTATTATTATTATTATTATTATTATTTCTAATCCACCCTTCACCCAACAGTGCCAGAGGTGGAAATATACGCAATCCAAATCCAAAATTAAACAAAACACAGCATTCAATTGCAAATGAAACCACCAGCAAGCAACAGAAATTCAAGCGCCCAATACACTTCGCATTGTCCAAAAGTCTGGACAAAGAGTTGCAATTTCACTGACTGATGAAATTGCTTGATAAGCTACAGATCGGAGGGAGATCATTCCAGAGGTGAGCAGATTGGTATAAAGAAAAAATGGACTATTTCAGGTATCTTTAATATGGGTCAAGCCATACCCACCCGCTGGGTTGTGGTCTGCGTTTCTTTGACAAAGTCTGGATGCAAAATAGCATTGAATGAAATAAAAATGAAGGATGATGAGCAGCAGCAGCAATTGAAAATTAGTTTTTTTGCTCCCAAAGTTGCTAAGAGACTTTATGGGGGGAAATTTGTTTCCAAGCTGCTGTTGCTGTTGCGAATTTTGCATTGCCTGGGCACTTCCATCTGCTCCCCGCAGCATTCAACTTGCAAATAAACTGATTAGTTCAGACATCATAAGTCTCTGGTGCTCTTATGGCTCCAAAGGAAATTGACTCTGTGAAGATAGCCCAGAACTTCCCAATGCTCTGGGGAGGTTAAACAATCTTAAGTCTCATTTATTTCAGTGGAGGATCTCAGCATGTGAATTAAAAGTGCTTTACTTTGGCTGGCTTTTGCCCTGATTGTGCAATGCAATGCAGTGTGCGTGCTCGGTAAATGGTTGCATTATACAAATTTTAAAAGAAAAAGTGGCACTCATGGTAGATATTTCGGTTGCATTCTGTTCTCAAAGTGTGTCAGAAACAGGACTTAAATTCGTGTCAGGACTAATCAGGGTTCTGATCTCAGACTGCATTCCATGCCAGAGACATATGAGATGATAATAAGGAAAGGACTGCCCCTGAACATGTGCAGAGTGCCTTTCACCACGGAATAACCACGAGAGATTGTGAAACAGGGCTTCCACTTCGGCCGACCTGAACCCTAGTGCCACCTCTCATCTTATCAATTAGCCACCGGCCCAAAAGATCGATATTTGAGACGCGCTCCAGTCAAGGCTGAGATTCAGAACCTGGGACCATTTACTCTGGAGAAAGGCCATTGGCTTAAGTGCTCCAGAAATGGCGCTGCGGGGTTGCGATCAGTGTCAGCCCATCCACTTCCCAAGATGATGGGGATTAACTTGGTGTGTCATCAGCTTATAAAATTGGCTTTAAAAAAAATGCGTCTCAGACCAGCTGTGTGAGAGTTAATCAAACGAAATGCAATTTGTGGAGGTGTAAGTCTTATTAATATATTAGGGATTCTTAGGGTCCCAGTTGGCTAGGCCAGATGTGCTGCTGCATAATGAGAACACAATAACCTTCATCAGGAAGTGGATCAGTCTGGTCGCCCCGGCATCTTGCGATCATCTCTATATAGTATTTGCTGTGGGGGGAGGTTGATAAGGAATAATAGGTTAACCGGATTCGTACTTGGATTTTGACTTAATGCAGAGTTGATCTTATTTTTCCGTTATTGCAGCCCTTAAACTGACATACCGGGTGTCAAACTTATTGACACTTCTTTAGACATATAAAAGGACACCGTTAGGCTTGCTTTGATTATCTGGCATAGTCAGCGTAATGCTTGCAAGCTTATTGTACTGCACACCTATAGTCTGGGTAAGTCATTGCTTCCGATACTCACATGATTTTGACCAACAGCAATAATTATTTGCATGTGACCTGGGGCACGCTGTTGAAGGAATAAACACATTGATTCTTGGATTCTATAGCTAGTTGGAATCAGGTCCCTGGGGGATATGTTGGAACCCGGAACAAAATGTCCAATGCGTTGAATCAGGACACTTTTGTGTTTACGTGTAATATTTGCATTGCTATCCTTGTATTAAAATATTCAATTTATAGAGAGCTTGGAGTTACTTTCCCTTCAGAATATTTGTACCTATCAGCCATTTCCCCCCCCTCCTCTTTATTTACATACATACATACACACACAGACATACATGCAACGGAGACCCATTTTTAAAAACTAATTTCATTGGCATTGTTGCCCCAAACAGATTGTGGCAATTTTGTAATAATACGAAGGAAGGGTGAGCTTTGTTAGCCCGCTTCAAGGACTTAAAATCCCCAGAGTTCTTTGAGTGAAGAAGATTTTGATAGCTTAACGGGTTGTTCCCTGTCTGCCAGAACAAGGCCTCTTGTGCTCACAGGTGGACTAATTTTAATGTTGCGAAACAGAGGGTCCCCATGCAACTGTTGCACATGAAAAAAATGCGTCGTGAAGCAGATTTCACAACCTATTGTGCAGCAAAGCTACCAGCAACCTGCTTATGCATTCTCTTGCACAACAACACACCCTCCAAGAGTCCCTGTTTTCCAGGGACAGCCCCAGGTTTCTGATTTGATCCCACTTTTCCTTAGGACGTCCCTATTTTCAAGCTGCCACTCTGGGCAGCTTCCAACACATATAAAAACATAATAAAACATTATCATTATTTTTAAAAAAAACTTCCCTATACAGGATTGCCTTCAGATGGCTCGGGGGTTAGATAACTCCATACCCTCCAACATTTCTCCAATGAAAATGGGACATCCTAAGGAAAAGGGGAAGGGATGCGGGTGGCGCTGTGGTCTAAACCACAAAGCCTAGGGCTTGCTGATCAGAAGGTTGGTGGTTCGAATCCCTGCGACGGGGTGAGCTCCCATTGCTCGGTCCCTGCTCCTACCAACCTAGCAGTTCGAAAGCCCGTCAAAGTGCAAGTAGATAAATAGGTACCACTCTGACGGGAAGGTAAATGGCGTTTCCGTGTGCTGCTCTGGTTCGCCACATGACCCAGAAGTGGTACGCCGGCTCCCTTGGCCAGTAAAGCGAGATGAGTCATCCTCGACTGGACCTAACGGTAAGGTCCTTTTAAAGGTAAGTGGGACATTCCAGGATCAAATTAGAAAGCAGGACAGCTTCTCCAAATGAGGGACATCCCTGGAAAATTGGGGCACTTGGAGGGTCTGCAGACTAAGGGTCACATTTTGAAGCAGGGGTTATACAGAGCAAAGTTGTGTGGTCCCGGTGGGCTGCAGTTCCAGCTTTGGCCGCCATATGGGTGGCACTGCAGCATAGCAGAGATTGACCTAGTAAAGATTTCAACCACACCATACATTTAAATATTATACCCAGTGCTTTTTTTCTGGGGGGATGCAGGGGTACGCATACCCCTGACCATTTTGTGAATCTTTTTACTTCTGTCCATTTACTGTATTTATTTTTCCCGATTTGAACTATAAAATGATGGTTTTCTTGAGTCAAAATGAGAGAACCCCTAAACATATTTTTTGGGGGGGGGGATTATGCCACATTACAGTGGTACCTCGGGTTAAGAACTTAATTCGTTCCGGAGGTCTGTTCTTAACCTGAAACTGTTCTTAACCTGAAGCACCACTTTAGCTAATGGGGCCTCCTGCTGCCGCTGCGCCACCACACAATTTCTGTTCTCATCCTGAAGCAAAGTTCTTAACCCGAGGTACTATTTCTGAGTTAGCGGAGTCTGTAACCTGAAGCGTCTGTAACCTGAAGCATCTGTAACCTGAGGTACCACTGTATATTCATGGCTTCCCCCCTCCAATAAATAAATAAAAAATCCCAGTAACTGTGGTTTGTCAAGGATGTTGGGAAATGTGGTTTTGTGAGAGGTGTCATAACAATTTACAGAAAATTACAGCTCTTGATATTGTGGGAGGGGAGTCACAATTGTCGAAGTGGTATAAGAGAAAATTCAAAAGCTTGGTTTTTGAAACTTGCAATGTTATTTAAATTTCAGTCTTGAAAACATATTGGGCGTGAGCCCTGTTGCAGGGTGTCCCTGCGCATCATGTTGCCCGAGGCAGGAAATCCAGATGGCCTTCTCCTCCCCAACATGTATAATCATGATGAAAATCCCCTGCACTTTTGGTGCTGAAAATTCAAGGTCCAATTTAAATGGAATCCCGGGTGTGCAAAAATATAAATAAATCCTTAGCTATGCATAGTTCTACTTGACACGTGCAAAATCCTGAGGCAATGTGTCTGCACTACATGCAAACTCACCCAAGTCAGTTGCCATCTTTGTGGAACCCTGCCTAAGTGTGTGTGTGTGTGTCCGTTTTATACACCCAGATTCATGTTTCAACCAGGTCTCAGATTGTGGCCTCGCAGGCTCACACTGTGCCATCGATTTCAAGGGTGAGAAAATTGAAGGGTGCTCAGCACTTGCTACTTATGATTTGCCCTCTAGAGCTAGTAAGGGTTCGAGCCAGGATTTCATGTCTCTTGGTGACAATGAGAAAACACACACACACACACATACCGAAGTCTGTTTTACAGTTTCCTACTGCATTTCATGGAACATGATTATGAATACTCATTTTAATTAACTACACTTAACCACATTATGCTTTCATGTTGTATATACTGTTTAGCATGGTGTGCCTTTAAATAATAATGTACTCCAGGCTCCCCCACTAATAATTGGAATTAAGCCTGTGTTGTGCTTGAATTAAGCGTGTATTAGCCTGCAAATACATTATTTGTCGCCGTTTAGGTCTCTGCAGTTAATTTCGTTCTAATTAAGTGTATGCAGGGTTCCAAAATTACCTGGAATCTTTCAGTGGGCCACAAGTGTGTCCAGTAAATGATTTGCATCTGTCGCAATGAAATAGTATCTTTTTAGCTTACGTGAAAGTGGGGGAAAGAAACCACTGGCAAAATTATGGTCTTAAGATATGCCAGTAAGCACCTAAACCAGCCTATTACTTTCCATTGGTCCCAGATGGTTTTGAATCAGTCTCAGCTTTCTTAAAAGTTAGCCCCTCACACACACACCTCACATTGACCATCTACATGGAAAAACAAACACTTTTTATGATCACTCTTTGAGAGAAGCAGTTCTTCATAGGGCAAAAACGGGATAGCTTAGATTATAAGGGGCGCGTTGTGAATATGCAGCACAACAATAAGGCAAAAAATATGGTATTTTTGTGTTAGAAACTCACGATTGAAATACGCAAGAAGATGTTGTCGAAATGCTGTATTTCTCATTATCTAACAGAGCTGTCACTTGAAACCTCATCTTGCAAAGCTTGCTCGATTTAGCTTTGCTTAATTGCCCAGAGAATTCAACAGGCAAAAGTAACCACAAGCTGAGACAGGCTGTCAGGATTGGGTCCAGTAAACAACTCACCATGAAATTTTAAGCTTCACATTAGCCTATACACTTGAAATATAAATGTGTTAAGGGTCCACAGTTACATTTGTATGTTATATTTGAACTGGTGGTGATCTCATCAAAAGACATTGTGCACTGAAATGCTTTGTTTCTGTAAATTCTGTTAATGAAAGAAACTCGTCAGTAACGACCCTTTGAAAAAGCAACACATTCCTACTGACATAGCAAATAGGCACATTCTGTATAATTACTGCTTTGAACTCTCCTCTCCTTTCAAGCACAGTGTTAAAAATGCCACATAATTCAGATATTTCCCCCCCTTTTCCTTCCTTCCTTCCTTCACAAGGGAGAAATCCCATTCCCTAATATATTTTATGGGTTTGCTCTCTTTCTGATATTTCCTTTGCAAAGGTCCTGCTCATATTTGTATCTTATTACTTTTCTTAGACTAGATTTATTGATAGTTTCTAACAAAAATATGATTTCAGGATATTTACTGAACAAAACTCAATATAAGAGCCCCCAATTCAATTGTTTTTCATCAAAATGGAGAACAATAAAGAACCTAAACTCCTCAGCTCAGACACAACAGCATCAAATAGTCCTATATTTTTTAAAAGAAATAAACCAATAACAGGGAAGTGATAGATGTTACTTAAAATAAAACATTAGTTTTGTTTAATTTATATGGGTTTCTAAGAATCTAGACTATAACATGAGCTGTGGACATTCTGCTTCATAAACATGTAGAAATACAATTGAATTCTTTGAAGGAATCAAAGAACAATCAGAATCCTAAAGATGTGTGGATGTGATTTTTATTTCTCAATACTATTAATTGCCTTGACATATATTTAAATGTGATTTAAATAAAATTCAGGATAAAATAGTTATCAATAATATTTTGCTACTGTGACAGCTTTTGAGTAAGGCTAATCTTGGTGATGATTTCTGCTGAGAAATCCAGAATATGGATTTCTAATGCCTTATTTTTGATAGGCCATTCCCAATGTTTTTATTAGCAGTAGCACTGATCATTTGGTAAAGGGGTTGTTGATTAATCCCTTTGGCTATCAATAATTATTTGCTTATAACAGACGGATTTCTTCGTTCTTTATCTGCTCTTGACTCCCTGTGTATTGCTCAGTGATTATTATAGATATTTATAAGATGATTCTTATTTAGGGCATATTGCATCACTGAGAGATTCAAGCAATTATTTTAAATCCCCCTCTCCCTTATCCCAAATTACTGGGCATTTTCCACTGAAAATGGTAAACAATATTATAAACTTTTTTTAAAAAAAATAAAAGACCAGGAAAAGGAGGGAAAGAAGTAATCTGATTTCTGGGAAGAGGGAACACAGTGAGAGATGTGTGCCTTTATAAGGATGGACAATGGAAAGCAAAATAATAACTCCTAAGTTTGATTGTTCAAATATATTCTACAATACAGAGAGCTGCATGCAAGCTGGAACAGGCGTAGGGCAGGAAGGTTAAGTAGAAGAGAAGGCACAATACTTCAGATTGGCAGTAGACTGCAGGAAGAATAATCTAATCAAAACTAAATTCAATTATCTCGTCCCAGGCCAGGCTCCTGGGATTGCCGCACTGAATACTAGCAAAGGCTCTGCCTAGACGTTTTTTCCCCAGTCAAACGCACATGATGAATGCAGATGAAATTTGAAATATGAAAATCCGAAATAATTTATGGAAGTTGTCAGAAATTTGGCTGGCTCGTGGCGTAATTTCCTTGGAGACGAGGCAGGCTGGCTCATTGCTTCTCGTCTCGAAGCAGTTCACCGCTCTTCCAGCGCACGGATCAACCCCTTTCAAAATGCTCTTCCAGGCAAATTACGGCTCATTATAGACAGCCTTGCACCAGGCCATTATGTCAGAGGAAATCTTTTTTCATTTGCAGAAATTTGCTTGGAATTCTCATATTTATTTGAGCATCCATTATCGAATCTGAACATTGAATTATCCACAATTATGCTCTGGGTTAAGGCGGATGTTTGTGTACATATGGAAGAGACGGCCACGGCGTCCTCTGGAAAAATATCTATATATATATGGGGGGTTTGCCAATGATCTTTACATGCTTCAAGCAGCTGCCTTTAAGGTATCAGTGGAAAGCTGGTTTCCTGTAGCTATTCATTTACAAAATAGATTTACTTTCTGAAAAGAGCCTTATATGGGAAAGAATTGGCTGGTCCTTGGAGCTTGATATTTATCTCAATTAGGAGGTCTCTTTCCCTGCAAAGATGGAGTTCAGGCTTGGTCTGGTTTTTCTACAAGCCCCCTCTGGTCGGCCTTTCCTTTCAATTACATTTTGCAATGAACGTTTGGTGTCCATCATATGTGCTGTGCTGCCTCCACCTCCTCCAGTCCTAAGAGCGTAAGGCGAACCCTGCTGCATCCGTCTGACAATTCAGCATCCTGCCTCCAACAATGGGCAGCCAGATGGGAAATGTACCAGCGCAGCTAAAAAGTAACATCTCTCCCGCCTTGTCTGTCTGCCAGCAACTTGTGTTCAGAGATGCAGTGCCCCTGGACATGGAGGCTCCTTTTAGCTCTCGTGATAAGCCAGCCTGGAGAGCTCAGTTGGTTAGAACGTGGTGCTGATAATGCCAAGGTTGCAAGCTTGATCCTCGCATGGGACAGCTGCATATTCCTGCATTGCAGGGGGTTGGACTTGATGATAATAATGATGATGATGATGATGATAATGATGATAATTTATTTATACCCCGCCCATCTGGCTGGCTCTGCCCAGCCACCCTGGGCGGCTTCCAACAAAGTATTAAAATACAGTGGTCTGTTAAACATTAAAAGCTTCCCTAAACAGGGCTGCCTTTGGAGGTCTTCTAAAAGTCTGGTAGTTGTTCTTCTCTTTGACATCTGGTGGGAGGGGATTCCACAGGGTGGGTGCCACTACCAAGAAGGCCCTCTGCCTGGTTCCCTGTAACTCCACTTCTTGCAGTAAGAGAACCACCAGAAGGCCCTTGGTGCTGGACCTCAGTGTCTGGGCTGAATGATGGGGGTGGAGACGCAGTGTATCCCAGAACCCGTGTGCAACGTTTTGGGCCACACTCCCAATGGTTGTGGGCTGCCAGTCATGTCATGCTGTCAGGGCTGGATTTAGGTCTGATGAGGCCCTAGGGCCCTGCGGGACTTGACTTTTTTCCGCAAGGCCTGCAAGACAGAGCTGTTCTGCCTTGTCTTTGGTTTGGACTCAGCTGACCCTTATGTTTCCCTCCCCTTATGGTTTTGATTTATGGGCTACTATTAAAATGAGGCTGCATTTTAAATTGTATTTTAACCCGTATTTTAATAAACTGGTTTGTTTGTTTGTTTGTTTCCCCCTATTATGTTTTATTGTAATTTTATTGGTGTTGGCCTCCCTGAGCCCAGCTCTGGCTGGAGAGGGCGGAGTATAAATAAATTATTATTATTATTATTATTATTATTATTATTATTATGCTACTGAAGGTAATGGGGCCCTTTATATGTCCAGCTGTCAACAACAAATTGTCGCTTTTTTGTGTTGAATATATGCTATATGGTAATTTATGGACTTAATAGGTATCTAAAGCTATTTGCACATAACAAATAGGAGCCTACACAACACAAAACACTGCTGCTGGATCAGGCCAGAAGCCAACTAGACCAGCTTACTGTTCTCACAGTGACCAACCAGAAAATACAAGGTCACTCTGAGCACCTCATTTATTCCCACACTGGAGTCATCCACTCTAAATCAGAGATACTTCAGTAATAAGTAACATGATCAGAGTGAGCTCGTGTGAAACAATTTATTCTCTCTGTTACCAAGGTAACATGGATCCAGACCATAAGAGGCCAAGGTGGGGGTTTTCACCTCTTGTTCCTCCTTAGTAACACGAATTAGGCTTTGCTAATGCAGGAAATGGTTGTAAATAATGTCATTCCTAACCTTGTGTAGTAGCTTGATGACCTAGCATGCTCCTTGGAACAGCCATGTGAGACGACTGTTCAGATCATCCAGCCTAGAACTGCGATGAAGATAGCCCAAGATGGTGGAGCCAGGACACAACTGCTCTACGCAAATGTTTAGCACAAAGGCAAGCTCTTGCTTTATTGCTCTTTAAAGATGCCTTCAGTTTGGCTAGGACTATACGATAGACTATGGTTTTCCCAGTAGTGATGTATGGAAGTGAGAGCTGGACCATAAAGAAGGCTGATCGCCGAAGAATGGATGCTTTTGAATTCTGGTGCTGGAGGAGACTCTTGAGAGTCCCATGGACAGCAAGAAGATCAAACCTATCCATTCTTAAGGAAATCAACCCTGAGTGCTCACTGGAAGGACAGATCGTGAAGCTGAGGCTCCAGTACTTTGGCTACCTCAGGAGAAGAGAATACTCCCTGGAAAAGACCCTGATGTTGGGAAAGAGGGAGGGCACAAGGAGAAGGGGACGACAGAGGACGAGATGGTTGGATAGTGTTCTCGAAGCTACCAGCATGAGTTTGACCAAACTGCGGGAGGCAGTGGAAGACAGGAGTGCCTGGCGTGCTCTGGTCCATGGGGTCACGAAGAGTCGGACACGACTAAACAACTAAATGACTAAACAACAACATACGATAGACTAGAATACTTAGCATAATGGTTTACTAAAAGGCAAGGGTCTGCATAGCTTACATTGTTGCAGCGTAGCATTTTTGTTAGTAAGAAAAACCCTCTTGGCTGCGAGTCCTGGAAGACCTGCTCCTTGCCTTGCAGGCCTTTCCCCACCTGACCTGGGAGGGCAGGGCCTGACTGACTCCAGCTACAAAAACTGAGACTGCTAAACAGACTTTTGGGCTGGAGTATTTTTGTAGGGGGTTTTGTTGGCTGGGGGGGGTAGCTATTGCTGTTACTGATATTATTATTTTGTATATATTTTTTAGATCTTATTATGATTTATGTGGAAATGGTTCAACTTGTGTAGTTTTTGTCATTTTGTTTACTGCTTATGACTACCTTTGTTATGTTTGTAGTCATGTATTTTTTTAATGTTGGAAGCTGCCTTGAGCATGGTTTTAACTTTGGAAAGGTGGCATACAAGTAAAATGATTGATTGATTTGATTGAAATGACTGAGGTCAGTACAAATGGCAATGCGCTTTGGAGTAGCCCAGTAACACCCAGGGCAGGGATTAGGTAATGTTGAAGCCAATTACAGGAGACAGGAGAAAATTCTACCCATGGTGAGCTGGTTAAGTATGGTCTTCTGTGACATTTCTTACACTTTTCTTGGAAATCTTTGATAGCTTTTAAAAACTGGATTTCAAATTATATACATTTAAAGTTTCATTGAACATGACAAATCATTATGTCCCAGTTGTCTTTTCTTTTTGAATTGAAGCATACATGCATGAAATGGATTTACCTGTGGGAATAATATCACTGAAGTCTGTGAGGAATTCTTGTCCAAAGTCATTTTGTCTACACACAAAGGTTAGCAGGAGCGGACATGTGAGCAGCAAACAGATTAAGAGCACAGTGTTACTTACAGAGAAGTGTCTATAAAAGCCCCATCTAATGCTAGCAAAAAATATTAGTGGAGCCTAAATTATGAAAAAATTATTCTACCCAGGGGAATCTCATGCCAAAGGAAATGACAATTACCAAAAAATTTGTAAATAAAATATTTTTCCAAAGGCCACAACACCACTAAATTCTGAAGTATAGCACTGGGATAAAATAGGAATTGAATTAATAGGAACAAATCTAATTAAGAACAGAAATGGAACACATATCTAATTAATGGTAGCAATCATTGGGACCAAACAAGAAAGAAAAATCTTGCAAATTAGTTAGTTAGTTAGTTGCATTTATATATATATAAAAGAGCCCATTCTTCATGCTCAGGCGAGGATAGTTCTCGCCTTTGATCTCATAACAGCCTTTGAGGTACATTAGGTTGAGGGTTAGAGACTAGCCTAAGCCACCCCACCAAAGCTTGTGGCTATGGAGATTTAACCTGGGCCTTCTTAGCTGAAATCTGTCGACAGCACCATACTGGAGGTCTCTGCAGATCACAGGGAAGGTAACAGAAATATTGCATGCAATGTATTATTTCCCCAAACATAGGAACTTAGAAGTCGCTTCAGAGAAGTCCCACCTGGAGATGCCAAGTTTTAGACTCAAGACCTTCTGCACATGACGTATGTGCTCTACCATACCATGGGAGATTGACTATGAGGTCACTACTATGTGACCTCAGTGATTTATTAATTGGCTGACATGGCAGGAGAAGAAGGTGCACACCTGATCCAGTTATTCTGGTGGCTCTGCAGAAAGTTCCAGATCATGCTGGCTCTGTTCTCTTTAACATGTAAATGCCTTTGCCCTCCCTGATTTTTTGCTGGGCATTCCCTGCCATTTTAAAAGAATGGGGCACACACACCCCCGCCTGCACTTATGGCATGCTCCACATGCACAATAAGCACTTGAAGTTTAGGATTGTACCATGGCTTTGAAACAGGGGTGATCATCCTCTTAAGCCTGGCAGGCAGGTCACGTCTTCTAGCCACAAGTCACCTGGGAGTGGCCTCATTGCTTATATATCTTGGAAGAGGAGCTTACTGGGAAATGATACTTAATGAAATGAAAAGGATGTTTAAAATCCTTTTCCATGGAGGCGCAGATTATAGCTATAACAAAGGCGGCATTTTTCCATCTCCGCCAAGCTAAGCAGTTGGCTCCTTACCTCTCTCGCCCTGACCTAGCCACTGTGATCCATGCGACGGTCACCTCCAGACTGGATTATTGTAACTCGCTCTACGTGGGGCTGCCCTTGAGACTGACCCAGAAACTCCAGCGGGTGCAGAATGCTGCAGTGAGACTCCTTACGAGGTCTTCGCTGCGAGATCACATTCACCCGGTGCTACACCAGCTGCACTGGCTCCCGGTGGAGTGCAGGATCAGGTTTAAGGTGCTGGTTTTAACCTTTAAAGCCCTATACGGCCTAGGACCCTCGTACCTACGGGACCGCCTCTCCTGGTATGCCCCACAGAGAAACTTACGGTCTTCGAATAAAAACATCTTGAAGGTCCCAGGCCACAGAGAAGTTAGGCTGGCCTCAACTAGAGCCAGGGCTTTTTCGGCTGTGGCTCCGATCTGGTGGAACACTCTGTCACAAGAGACCAGGGCCCTGCGGGACTTGACATCTTTCCGCAGGGCCTGCAAGACAGAGCTGTTCCACCAGGCCTTTGGCCAGGGCACAGCGTGACTCCCTCCCTCGGCAATCTTCGCGGAGCTCTGGCCCAATGGTTGCCAGTGGCTTGAATTAATTAATTTTATAACGAATGATTTTAGACTGTTGTTTATGCTGTAGTTTTGTACTGTTTTATTGTTGTTAGCCGCCCTGAGCCCGGCTTCGGCTGGGGAGGGCGGGATATAAATAAAATTTATTATTATTATTATTATTATTATTATTATTATTATTATTATTATAATAAAATAACCTTTGTTAAAAAAAAAAACAGGAGCTTTTCTTTGGGGCATTATAGGGGCAGAACTACCTAAAATGTATAGAAACTTATTCATGTATGCGACTACAGCAGCAAGAATGTTACTTGCCCCAAAATGGAAAGAAGCAGAAGTCTCAGCAAAGGAAGAATGGATACAAAAACTTATGGAATATGCAGAAATGGTGAAACTTACCGGAAGAATAAGAAATCAAGATAACAAACTTTTTTGTAAAAGAATGGAAATGGTTTATTGAATATTTACAGATAAATTATAAACAGATACAAACATTAGCAGGATTATTGTAACAACATGCTGTTTTATAAGGGTATATATTTAAAGAATAATAATGATATGCAGAAGATATTAAAAATAAACTTAAGGGACTGTAGAAAGAGGGGGAAGGAAGTTAAGTTTTGAAATGTCAATATGATTGTAAAATTAGCGAAATGTATATCTATGAGAGGAGAAGTGTTCCTGTCATGGTGAGGAACACAGAGCACGAGATTCTGGGCAGATTTATTTGGATAGATCAAAAGAACAGAAAACAGCTGAGAGCAGGTAGCTGTAAAGAAACAGGACCAGGGACAGCTCCAAGGCAGTAGACAACATATTCCACCAATTTTTTCTCTCTCTTTCAGATTTGGCTTTGTCTCAGTTTGAACATGTGATCTCCCAGAATCTACAAACTGCACACTTTGTGGCTCTTAACATCACAACCAGTTTTCCTCTCTCTCCTGCCCAACTTTGTTCATTTTTTAAAAAGTGACATTAAACTGCAAAATAGGCAGTTCAAGAGAAATCAGAATTTCTCATTATTTGGTGAAATTTCGTTCGGCCATTAAAAAAAAGTATTGTGTGATGGTGTTTTCCAAATACAGTGGTACCTCTGGTTACAGATGCTTCAGGTTACAGACGCTTCAGGTTATAGACTCCGCTAACCCATAAATAGTGCTTCAGGTTAAGAACTTTGCTTCAGAATGAGAACAGAAATCGTGCAGCAGTGGCGGGAAGCCCCATTAGCTAAAGTGGTACCTCAGGTATCAGACTCAAATGCGTACACAATAAAGGTCAATTTGACTCTTTCAAGCGCACAGTATGATTTCTTTGCTGTTGTCACAAAACTAGGAAAGAGAGACCAAGTTTCTAAGCAAGTGCCTATATGCAAATACTTCAAATTTTCCCTTTGTATGCAATGAAATTATTCTGATGATCATTGAACTCTGTTGTTGTTGTTAAATTTATTACCCATTTATTACCCATCGTTTATGACAACGGTGAAAGTGTAGAAGTGAAATAGTCGAGAGCTTTTCTGAAAGAAAGTTGCAATTACTACCTTTCTATCTCCCAGCAATCTGGCCCGTCTTAAGCATGCTGTGACCCTCCAAGTCAAACATAGCTTGCTGAGCCATGTATGGCAAACCGTCACAAATGTCCTTTTTGCTGTCCACCTGGGCCTGCAAACAGGCGTTGCACAGAGCACTCGGCCAACGACAATGGATGACTGGTTGGCTGCATTCAGCTTGGCAGGTCACAAATTGTGCAGTCCTTTCTTATGCAACATAAATCTTAATATCTTGGAAGGAAATAGATTCCGGACACTTGGGCAGAGAATGACACTGAAGGCGAAAACCACAGCTACAGCTTTCTCTTTATTATAAGACCATTGGATTTTTGTGTCCAGAAGAAACGTCGTATTGCTGCTGTAACAACGATGATTATTAAAAGTGTAAGATTCGTATTGAGTCTCCAAATATAAAATCATGAGTAACTATATAACCTTTGGAAGACATCTGAAGGCAGCCCTGCATAGGGAAACCTTTTAATTTGCAATGCTTTATTATGTTTTTATAGATGTTGGAAGCTGCCCAGAGTTTCTGGGGCAACGCAGTCAGATGGGCGGGGTACAAATAATAAAATTATTGCTATTATTATTATTCGAATGGTTAAGTTCTTAGTCACATGACCTCTGTTCTCTCTTGGCCACGAATAACAAAAGGAGCCACTGAAAAAACACCCTGACTTTTAATGCTTTAGGAAGTTCCATTTTATGTTTGCTTGACACTCTGCAAAGTTGCATGTGACCACTGCATGCTTGCTGGGGTTATCCCGATTTTAAAAACCGGGCCAGTCCTGTTGCTCCTCTCATGCAGATAGCAGCAGAGAGGTTGCGTAAGGGCTGGTGCCTCCCCGGGTCTTCTTCCTGCAGGAAACTTTGTAATAGCACTTAAATACATAAAGCGACGGGGCAGGAGATTATTGCTGGCATTGTGCTTTTGTAGATGTGTATTATAGCCTCGCCCCGCCGACTGACACAATTAGCTGAATGTGGGACAAGACAAATGTTGTATGCGACAGTGGGGTAGTATTGAAAGCTGACCCCCATATCTAGAGGGCGAAGAGTTATGGATCCATTGATAGCCGTTAACTAGGGCTGGGAAGCGTGGCTGTTAAATTTTTGCCTGCTGGCTTCTGGCTACAGGCCTGCTGGCTTTTCTGGCAACAGAGGGCTTGAATGGAACCACAGGCTGCTTTGGAACTTTGTTCTTCTTTTATTAGAACTGACCATTGACAAGGAGAGTGGAGGGGGCGCAGGGAGGCAGCAAGCTGCGCTGAGCACACACTTCCTAGCCACTCTTTGTTGCTCTTTTTTTTCTTCCCCTGGCTGCAGTTTTCTTTCTTTAAAGCCGTACGAGCAGTTATGAGGATGTCAAAAACTGCTGCACGTTTTTAGCCGGTTGATAAAGAGCAGTTCATGTTCAGAGACATGGCTGGAGATGATCCAAAGTTTAAGCACTCAAGTGCACAGTTTTAAACACGCTTGCTAGTGTGCCCCATTGAACTCAGTTTACTTCTGAGTAAACATCCTTAAGATTGCACCAATGTCTTCATCAATGACAGAACTGGGTACAGGCATTAATGCTCACGTGTCAATCCATGGGATTTGTAATCATTTCATTTGGGGGTGGGTGGGTTGTGCTGGTTTTTTAATTCCCCCCCCCCCCATGGAGAAATAGATCATCTGTTTACAAACTAGCTCTTGAAAAATACAAGGAGTACAGAAACAATAAAACAAAGCAACTTCGGTCATGAGACACCTCCGTACATCATGCAAAAGCAATAGTCCAATTTTCAGGTTATGAAAACTAGAATTAAAAAGTCACTATACAGAAAAGATTCCAAGTTCCCAGCTTGGCAAAATTTTATTATTTCTTTTAGATCTTGTCCACTGACCACAATGCTGGTTTTCTTACAAATCACAGGGGTCAGTCTGTCCAAAGTTGAGCGCCGTAGAGTCCCATTGATATAAGTGGATGGGGTAAACTTGTACTTAATAACTCCTACCAAAATGAATGAGACTCAAATCTGTTTAACTTGCAGTTTTATTATCAATATTTTAAGAAGCTTCATATAATCACCAAAGTATTTTAAATAAGATTATTGGGCCATTTATACCACATTCCTAAGCACACCTATGTGGATGTGTTTTTTTTAATAGAAATCAGTATGACTTATTTGCAAGCCAATAGCTGCAATATGACAGAATTAAGCACTCAACTTCCCCCTGATTTCAATGACTTTAAGGCTGCTACCCTGTGGAAGTTTTCCTGGGAGAAAGATGAATTAAGTACAATAGACTTTATAACTCGGTAAATATGTGTAGGATTGTGATGTTAGTGTGCTTAATCTATGCTGGATTGTGACTGCTGAATTTGAGACTCTGGTATTGCACTGCAGAATAATAGTTCTAATTTTCGTCTGTTTGATCTGTGTGCTGAACACAATGGTTTTCAAGATTCTATGACTATAGTTTTATAAAAGAGAAAATATCTGTCTGCTCAGGCGAGCAGGATCTGGCGATTCCAGCTAATTGATTACACAGCTCGCAAGGTTCTGGACAGAGCACTTTTTCATGGACAGGCAGTGTGACAGAAGACAAAGCGTACTGAAAGAGATAAAGCTTAAAAGAGAAAGAAAAGACAAGAGATGGAAGAACAGAGAAGACACAGAGAATCTTTAACGCCTCTTGGAACAGAGTGATCAAGAAATTGGTATCTGGCAAATATGCAAAAGAGGAGCAAAAGCTTCAGAAAGTTAGAGCTTTTGATAGTGATCAAGCATAACGGAAAATTTGGTTTCTTTCAGATATATTCTCCAAGGAGCTCAAGTTTACATGAACATGGCTATATATGACCCTTTTACGACTTATTTTGTACAACACCCCCATATCTAATTGACGAAGGGCCGTTTTAAGAACTTTGAATATATGAATAACAAATAAATAAAAACAGCAACATACAGTACATGGCTATCTTCCTTTTTTTATCCTTGCAAGAACAACCCTGTGAGGTAGTTCAGTCTGAGGGTTACCCAAGGTTACTTCATAGCTGAAGAGGATGTGAACCTAGGTCTTCCCAGTCCTAGTCCTAGTCCGATATTCTAAACCAGAGATGGAGAAGCTATAGCCCTCCACACGTTGTTGGACTACAACTCCCATCATCCCTGGCCATTGGCCATACTGGCTCGTGCTGACAAAAGCTGGCATCCAGCAACATCTGGAGGACTCTAACCCATTCTTGCTCTCACCCCACTAGCTCTCAAATATAGCAGAAGTGGAGAAACACTAACCGACCCTCTGCTTCTTATTGTCAGTACTTTTTATAACAGCAGAGTGTTGTTCTCAGGTCTAGAAGGCTTCAAGAAAGACTGGCAGTGGCTCGGGCTGTCCTCTTTTTTGCTCTTCAAGATACAGGGGTACCTCGGGTTACATATGCTTCAGGTTACATACACTTCAGGTTACAGACTCCGCTAACCCAGAAATAGTACCTCAGGTTAAGAACTTTGCTTCAGGATGAGAACAGAAATCGTGCTCCAGTGGTGCAGTGGCAGCAGGAGGCCCCATTAGCTAAAGTGGTGCTTCAGGTTAAGAACAGTTTCAGGTTATGAAGGGACCTCCAGAACAAATTAAGTACTTAACCCGAGGTACCACTGTATGGCAACCCTAGGGAAGTGAGGGGCAGATGGGGCTCGTCAACCTGGGAAGGTAGCCCATCTAGGAGAAGGAAAGCTCTGGTCCTAAACCTCCGCTGCCTTGTAGGATATCTTTGGGAGAAGAAAAGGCCACGGAGTAAAGACTACAGAAATCTAGAGTGGAGTCCCTAAGACTGTTTGCTGGTGTTTTGTGCACCTCCTTCCAGCAACTCCTGCAGCCAAGCTGGTGTCAAACGTACCCGTATTTTTCGCTCTATAAGACGCACCAGACCACAAGACGCACCTAGTTTTTGGAGGAGGAAAACAAGAAAAAATATATTCTGAATCTCAGAAGCCAGAACAGCAAGAGGGATCACTGCGGAGTGAAAGCAGCAATCCCTCTTGCTGTTCTGGCTTCTGGGATAGCTGCGCAGCCTGCATTCGCTCTATAAGACCCACATACATTTCCCCTTACTTTTTAGGAGGGAAAAAGTGAGTCTTATAGAGCAAAAAATACGGTATTTCTCTGCTTTCCTTTTGGCCACATCAGTGAGGCTGAGAGGGGAGTCTTGATGTGTGGGCAGCCCAGGACCTCCATATACTGCCCAGGTCACTTCGATGCTGCTAATGCAGCAGTTTGGCTTCACCCCTGGAGGTGCACTCCATTGTCTCTTGAGACAGATGGATGCCAACAACAACAAGCTTCCACTATAGGGTTTTGAGAGGCCCAAGACCAAATGAACGTGGAAGTTCGCATAGGTCTTTGAAACCGTAACCTGTGAGTCGGTTAAGACTCAGAGTCTGGAGCAGATTGTGGGTGATGCTTTCCTCGCTCCTGGCTGGCCTGTTCTCAGGTCACAGAGCAGGAACTTGGGGAGTAACCACCAGAGGAAGGAACAGAGCCGGAACTAGCCGGATGTGCTTGATGCCAGGGATGATTCAGTCCTTGCAAGCAAGATGTTCCCAGCTTTGACTGATCTGCCCATTAAGCTGTGTGATCCATTTACCATGGAAGGCTGTGCAAACTGTTGGACAGCTAAAAAATGGGGAGGCATCTGGTATTGACTCTGGACTAATGATGAAAGCACTCTGGTATGGTGGTCCGAAATTAGCAAACTTCCTATGGGCTTGTGTGTGTGTGTGTGCAATGAAACAATGATTAATGGAAGAGCTCCTGAACACTGGCGTAATTGTCCCAATTCCAAAGGGACGGGGGGTCAAGCTAAACTGAACAACCATTGCAGCATCTATCTTCTGTTGCTACTGCTTTATAATGGGATGCTGTTGAAGAGGGCAGAACCTTTCACTGCTATTTTACTTATCTCCTACCAAGCAGGTTTCTTGAAGTACACAGTCTGAACAAGCAACTATTCCTGTAGCTTTTTCACTCTGCTGCTATAGCTGGTGGTTCAAATTGAAAGCTCCCTTTGAGGAAGACCTCACTTTGTTACCATCGCTTCTCCCTTCATTCCCCTTTGTTCCCTCCCAGCAGTGATGAAATTTATACTGTATGCTCCTAGAGGGCAGGGACTTTTCCTTTTTCCTTTGCAAAGTGCTGTACAGTGGTACCTTGGATTAAGTACTTAATTCGTTCCGGAGGTCCCTTCTTAACCTGAAACTGTTCTTAACCTGAAGCACCACTTTAGCTAATGGGGTCTCCCACTGTCACCTCGCCGCCAGAGCACGATTTCTGTTCTCATCCTGAAGCAAAGTTCTTAACTCGAGGTACTATTTCTGGGTTAGCGGAGTCTGTAACCTGAAGCGTATGTAACCTGAAGCGTATGTACCCCGAGGTACCACTGTAATGATATTTAGCAGTTATCCAATTGCAGAGCCCTCGAAGCTGCACAGGCCTTTAAATCGCACCGTTTATTTAATTGTTCCTCTTATTAAATCCACATATCCTATTATGTGGCAGTGGTCTTTAAAGTGCAACGTTTGTTGAGCTACGCTATTAAATTGTACTTCATATTAGTTTACGAAGCCCACTAATTTCTCATCAGAGCCCATTAGCCATACTATCTTCAGCTTATTAAACAAAACAAAACCTATTACAAACAGTTCGGAACAGGAGTCTCGGTTCATTTCAAGAGCATCACATCTGAATTTTTGAAATTGAATGTCCTAGCCTCACTGCAGGGCAATGTGAGAGGCCTGTTGCCCTTAGCAAATTACCTGTTGGTGGTTTGGGGAGAGCTGAGGGAGGGGTGCTGGAGTCCACCCCCTCTTCTCTTCCCTTCCCTTCCTTTGGAGGGAATGGTGACCCTGGTATGGCAGCTGTTTTCAAAGGGGAGATGGTGTGCTGTTTCCTGGGTCCACCAATCCTGCTCCATCAATTAAATCAGTTAAGTTTAAATGAATTTAAAGGTAAAGGTAAAGGGACCCCTGACCATTAGGTCCAGCCGTGGCCGACTCTGGGGTTGCGGCGCTCATCTCACTTTATTGGCCGAGGGAGCCGGCATACAGCTTCTGGGTCATGTGGCCAGCATGACTAAGCCACTTCTGGCGAGCCAGAGCAGCGCACGGAAATGCCGTTTACCTTCCCACCGGAGTGGTACCTATTTATCTATTTGCACTTTGACATGCTTTCGAATTGCTAGGTTGGCAGGAGCAGGGACCGAGCAACGGAAGCTCACCCCGTTGCGGGGATTTGAACCGCCGACCTTCTGATCGGCAAGTCCTAGCTCTGCGGTTTACTAGCCATAAGGGAGGAGAGACTGTTGTTGCACCCAGGGATTGCTTGCAGGCTTCCCATAGGCATATGGTTGGCTGCTATGACAACTGGATGTGCCACAATCCCAGGGTCCAGCAGTGATCAAGACAGAGGCAGAGGTTGTAGATTCACCAGGTAAGGAGTCAGACTAGGTATCTGATTCCGAGCCTGATGCTGATGACCCACTAAATCCAAGGCTGGCAGGGACCCCCTGGACTAAATCGCTCAGCACCAGAGCTCTCGGTGCCAGAAGCGGAAGCCTCATAGACACCTTTCCCTGGACCTGAGGAACTCAGCTCCTTGGTGATCCAGTGGTGCAGGGAGTGTACCAAGACAGGAGGCTAGGGAGCCCAGAAGAAGCACCCATTTGAAGGCCAGGGGGCTAACCCCTTAAGGATAGCAATTCTCACAATAGGAGTTGAGCCCTGGAGAAGTGGACTTGAGTGAGCAACTCAAAAGGCTTCAGTCTACCTCCATCCTTTTTTGGAGCAAGTGGCTGACTCGGAGCTCTCCATGGTGCTGCCTCCGCCAGACGAGACTGGACTTGACCAGACAAGAGATGCTGCTGGACTATATGGGCCTTGGCTCTCATCCAACAAGGCTGTTTTTACAGTCTAATTTCTGAGCACGCATCTTCTTACTAAACCGATTAAAGCTTGTAAGCCGCGTCATCGTAATTTAAATTAAATGTTTAATCACCAGCATTTCCTGAACACTTCTGCACACATGTTCTAAAACGCACGTAGGAAAATGCAGCCGCCAGTTTACTCAACTCAAATGGTTGACCTCAAAGGAAGTTCAACCAAATCAAAAGTCATACTGCTGGAGTGGTGGGTTGTGTTACTTATCAAATTTGTTAGTCGCTTTATCTTGCACAGGGCAACCCAAAGTGACAAAATCGTAATCAGGAGAGATCTATTGTAACCAAGTTAGCCAAGTCCATTGCTTTTAATTAGTCTTCTCCAAATAAGTTGAATACAGTACAACTCAATTCTCTACTCACCAATATGGGTCAAGATTCAACACTGTTGAAGTCATACTCTGAGATGGTGGGGGGTGTGGCAAACCCACAAATATTCTGCCTTGAATCAAATCGATATCTAAGACTACATTCCTGTGCACCTGCACCTGGGAGTAAGCCCCAATGCAGTGAAATTTACTTCTGAATTAACATGTATAAAATACTCCTTGTTGATTGACAGTGTTGTACACCTTAAGTCCAGGTTTATTGCAACCAAAATGAAACTAGCTTCCAGGGCTGGATTGAAGCGAGGCAACTGAAGCAACTTCACCCCATAGTGCAAAGTGACATAGTCCATACTTCTACTGCAGGCTTCCTCAGCCTCGGCCCTCCAGATGTTTTGAGACTACAATTCCCATCATCCCTGAAACAAAAACATCTGGAGGGTTGAGGTTGAGGAAGCCTGTTCTACTGCCTCAGTGTGCTATCAGTGCATATTGTCTGAAAGCCACCAGCTATTTACTTCAATTAGTCTTCATCTGAGGCTACTGTAACCTTCTATATCACCTGCCAGGTTGCAAATTTGCAGCCGGGATCCTAACTGCCCTTAAGAGGTCAAGCAGGGTATGGGCACGACAGCGCTTGCATAGGACTGGGATGAAAAACTATTCTTGGACTGGTCTGATCTCCTCCATAATGGATGGAAGGGAAAGAGAGATTTGGGGTGGCATGGAAATAGGCACGACTGGACCTAATGGTCAGGGGTCCCTTTACCTATGACAAAGGCGCAGAAGGAGGCTTGGCCTGGAAGAGAAGGGGTTCCATTGGTCCTGGAACGCTCTCGCGTGGGAGGCGCAGCGCTGCGGCCGAGCGCCAGCGTTCCATTGGCACTTTCACTTTCTTTTCCTTTCTCTTCCCCTGCCAGTCTGGCTCGGCTCCCCGGAGCGACGGCGCTCGCCCCATGCTGGGTTCTCAGGCAGGCAGCTGCATGGGCCGAGCTCAGCCCTTGAGCGGAGCTGAGAGAGAAGCTCAGGGGACGGTGGGGGAGAGAGGCAGGCGGCGGCGACGGGCCCTGTGTTTGTGTTTGTGTGTGTGTTGGGCCTGATCTGCCTCCCCTTTCCACCCGCTCCACTTCCTCTGCCGCGCCGCGCGCCTCCGGGCGGCTGGTGGCTCAGCGCATAAACTGATTAGGTAACAACAGAGCACCTTCCCTCCCTGTTTTCCTTCAATACGCTTGGGCCACGGCTTTTGAAGCGGCCCGGCCCTGCCACTACCCGGCCATTATGCCTGGATGTATGGAGCTTTATCCGGAAAAAGCTCCGCTTTGCCCCCGGCTTCATCAATCATTTAGACCGGTTCAAATCCCCTTCATAGCCTTCCGCCTCATTTAACCTATCGAGGGGCGAAAGTGAAGAGAGGTTTGTAAAGCTCCGGGAAAAAATGCCTGCACACACCGCTTTTATTTTATTTATTTTTTTCCTCGCTCGCTGGTGTTTCCGAGATTCGGGGGGGAAAGGGCGGGGGGAGGGAGAGAAAAATAAAAGAGGGAGAAAAGGCCCCAGAGAAAAGCATAAAAGCAAAAGGGCCTTTATGAAAGAAAGGACGCTTCGCTGTCGACATCGCAGGGGCGGAGAGGGCCCTCCCCAAACATTTAGGGAGAGAGCCCCCAGGCCAACAGCTTTACACCTCAGCCAGCGAAGGGTGAAGGGTTGAAGAAAGTTAATCCCGGAGAAGCATTGAAAACCGGGCGTTACTGATTATGAGCTGGAGCTAATCTTGGAGTAAATGAACGGGAAAGGGTAAAAGGCGGATCCAGCTGATTTTAAACGGATCCTCGTGGATTCATATGATTTTTTCATTCAAATTAAATAAAACCACCATGATACTGTAGACCATGTCTTACTCTGTAGTAAAGGTAAAGGTACCCCTGCCCGTACGGGCCAGTCGTGTCCGACTCTGGGGTTGCGCGCCCATCTCGCTCAAGAGGTCGGGAGCCAGCGCTGTCCGAAGACACTTCCGGGTCATGTGGCCAGCGTGACGAAGCTGCATCTGGCGAGCCAGCGCAGCACATGGAAACGCCGTTTACCTTCCCGCTAGTAAGCGGTCCCTATTTATCTACTTGCACCCGGGGGTGCTTTCGAACTGCTAGGTTGGCAGGTGCTGGGACCAAGCAACGGGAGCGCACCCCGCCGCGGGGATTCGAACCGCCGACCTGACGATTGGCAAGTCCTAGGCACTGAGGTTTTACCCACAGCGCCACCCGCGTCCCATCTTACTCTGTAGGCAGCATCAAAAAAATCAAGCATTCACTGTTTCGTGGCGCAAAAACATGGTTAAAAAAACATGGATCCTCATGATTTTTGCACTAGGCATGCCTTCCAGATGTGATTTGACACTGGATTTGTTGGAGTTATTTTTTAAAAGTGGAGGATCCGTGTAGATCCGCCTTTAATCTAGACCCTAAATAAACAAACTGTCCCTTTGAAGGAAGAAGGCGTCATTCCAAATGCAAGATTACAGTGATAGTCAGTAGAGCATGAGACTCTTAATCTCACTGGTTCGAAATATTCTTGCCTTGGTCCTTGTGGTCCCTTCCAACTCTAGGATTCTAATGAGAAACACACACACACACCTCAACGTGGAATCCAAAATGTCCAATACCACAGCATCCTGTGTGGCATGACAAAGGAAGGAGCAGACTTTTCACACAGCCCATTATAGACCCAAACATTCAGGTGGGGCCGGCCCTATCCTTAGGCAGCTGCCTCAGGCGGCAGATGCCGAGTGGCAGCCGCATGGTGTTGGAGTGTCGTGCACAGCCTTGCCCTTGTGCCCTAAACTAACCTCTCATCCTCAGATATGGTGGGAAACCGTGTTAAAGCTGGAGAATCAGCTACCCTTCTGGCTAGCTTCTGTACATGGGGTTCATGTATTTATCTCAGTTCAAGGTGGCCTGTATGGTTCTCTCCCTCCAATTGTCCTACCTGGGAGGTAGGTTAGGCTGAGAGGCAAAGACTGTCCCAAGGTCATCCAGTGAGCTTCAGTTTTAATCGGACTTTTAAAGATCTGAAGGAATCAAGCCATGACAAAGACTTGCTCATGGTGGCAAGCAGCAAGGGCAGGATTCAGGGTGCAAATGTGGATGTGTAGAAGACTACAAAGCTCTTGTAGGAGTGAAAAGAGAAGGAAGGGGCACACAGAGAATTAATTATCCAATGGTGGAACTTTTAAGGAGGGCATTGACGTGGCAGAAAATCAGCGATGTCCCTTGTAAAGTCACAGAGAACGCTGCAAAGCTGGAGAGGATGGAGGAAATTTTGGGTGCTGGTTTGAGGTGAGCATTCTCCAATTTAAACTGTAAAGGCCTGCTTTGAGGATATACAGTGGTGCCTCAGGTTAAGAACTTAATTCGTTCTGGAGGTCCGTTCTTAATCTGAAACTGTTCTTAACCTGAGGTACCACTTTAGCTAATGCCGCATGATTTCTGTTCTCACCCTGAAGCAAAGTTCTTAACCCGAGGTACTATTTCTGGGTTAGCAGAGTCTGTAACCTGAGGCATCTGTAACCTGAAGTGTCTGTAACCCGAGGTACCACTGTATTTGGGAAACACCATCACACAATACTTTTTTTTAATGGCCAAACAAATGTCACCAAATAATGAGAAATTTTGACTTGAGTTCTTCAGAACTGTGGTAGATTACATTGCAAAAAAACCATTCAAAACATCCAATGGCTTTTAAGTTGTGGCTTTTTTGTGTGATCTCATAATGTTATCAAAGATGCCAAACAAACTCTGCACCCCCTCCTTTAAAAAAGTCTTTGTACCCTATCATAGATAGGCCCATTCAGGATACAAACCCTAAACACATTCACATGGCAGTAAACTGCTCCGTTCGATGCAATCAAACGTATTGCCGATTGCGGATTGGGCAGTTCAATTGTTTGTAACAATAAAGGTCACTCCGGATAACCAGCCTGAGAAGTAATCACATCCGCCCTGCTCCACAAGCCTGGTGCTAGGTTGTGACTCCCTGGGATCCAGAGATTTGGGTCCCAACATGTTCAGTGACATTGCAAAGATTCTAGGTTACCTCTCCAGTCATGACACACAATCACAGCATTTCCTGTAGGCATTTTCTTGGTTTATTATCTTTTTAAACCTCGTCACACTAATAATAGATTTTTTTGGGGGGGGGGGTCCTGAACTAAATGCTTATTCTTGAACGACTGCAAAGAAACATCAATAGGGGCTGAAAACATTAATCTTTCCAGGAGTGTCATTAATCGTGAATTTGGATTGGGAGTTTTAAACTGGATTTTAATCACATCTGATCATTGCTGCAGGGCTTGCAGGCAATCTCTCTGTGTGTGTGTAATTCAGGCAGATCACTGTAGCCACCTCAACATTTACCTCAAACATATTAGCAAACTGATTAAAAGTCAAATGGTTAATTGACAAACATTTGGGTCAGTTCATATCAGTGGATATTTTTTCATGGAAAGGCACCAGTACACAAGCAAGCATTTTCAGGCATGGGTATTTTAGAAAATCTGATTTCAATAAAATGCATGTCAGATTATATTGGATATTAGTGTCAAGAATGGCTTTATAGTTCTTTACATTCCCGGTAGGACCCAAAGCTGTATGGAGAGTGGGAGTGTACCATTTTGGAGGTATACTCACAGGCAAGCATACAAGAAATACCAAGAAAAATGTAGCTCTGAAACTGCTCTGCCCCATGCACTTATTTCATTTCAATAAGCCTTGTAACAATGCAGCTTTTGAAGGATTAGACAGGGGATTTACCTGGCTGATTTAAAAAATGAAAAATGTTATGCACTTGATACACTAGACTGAATTTCTTCTAGCGAAGCTTCATTAATCAATAAATCCCTGTGTGGCACCCCTTAATCAAAGCAGATTAAATACTGTGATCTGGATTCTAAACACAATATAGTGCAGTTCCAAAGGAACATGAAAAGAATCGGGTTTACACCCATGTTCGTCAAACACAACAGCAGAAAAAACATCACCTTGCCCCCAGGCAATGCTTGCCAATGGAAGCAGGTCACACATTCTAGTTATCAAGCATTGAGCAATCAAGTTAAACTGCTCACCTTCCCAGGGGGGCGGAGTTGCAGGCTGGTCACAAAATCAGGTAAGCCACACCCACATCCTTGGGAGTCCTGGCCGCATCACGCCCCACGGCCGACCAATCTGGTTGACCAGGGGGCATGGCTTACCTGATTTAAACATCCCCGGGGGGTTCAGTCTCCTTTTCTCCTTCTGCGTCGGACCTCCCGCCCTCCCGCCCTGTTTTCATGCATTCGCCATCTTGGCCTTGCTATGAATTACGGTTGGTCGCCTGTTGAGGGGACCAGGTAGGAATTTCCCCACCTGGCAAATTGGCACCAGCCATGTGGTTTTCGCCTGCCTTGTAACAATCGTCACAACTTTGTAAGGTTAGGTGGTTAGGCATTGGTAAACCTGGTTGATGGGAGGGGAGGTTGGGGCCTTCACCTGCCTCTCCTCTTTAAGGGTATTCCATTAAAGGGATCTGGGGGTGTGGATCCTATCAGAAGCCCGGGTATGGGCTAGGGCTGTGCCATGACCCCATCGGTTACCCTGGGGGAACTCACAGTTGAAGTACATCAGTGGTGGCCAACTCCCAAGAGACTGCGATCTACTCACAGAGTTAAAAACTGGCAGTGATCTACCCCCTTTTTGGGGATTTGGGTCAAAGTTGTTGAGTTTTTTCAGGGAGGAGGTAAAATGTTGAGCTTTTTTTAGGGGAGCCACAGTTGTTCAGCTTTTTGGGGGGGAGCCAATGATCTACCAGTGATCTACCGCAGACATCCAGTGATCTACTGGTAGATCACGAGCTACCTGTTGGACATGCCTGGTGTACATCAACAGGGCTCTCCCTACTGGTAGTTGACCCTTATGAAACTACCTGCATGACGGGCAGGAGTCAGATATAGTCAGTTCAGTTCCAATGTTCACATCTGTAACCAATAATAAAGTTGTGGCCTTATATACCCCATTAACCCAAAATATTGGTGTCCGTGTGTTTCATTATCTAACAAATGGGGTGGGGCTCGGGGCCTCGCCATGCAATTTACATTCATGTGTGAACATGGCATTCTTGTAAATAAACCAGTCAGCAAGGGAGGGTGCGGGTGGTGCTGTGGGTTAAACCACAGAGCCTAGAGCTTGCCGATCAGAAGGTCAGCGGTTCAAATCCCTGAGATGGGGTGAGCTCCTGTTGCTCGGCCCCTGCTCCTGCCAACCTAGCAGTTCAAAAGCACGTCAAAGTGCAAGTAGATAAATAGGTACCGCTCCAGTGGGAAGGTAAATGGCGTTTCCATGCGCTGCTCTGGTTTGCCAGAAGTGGCTTAGTCATGCTGGCCACATGACCCGGAAGCTGTACGCTGGCTCCATCGGTCAGTAAAGCTAGATGAGCGCCGCAACCCCAGAGTCGGTCATGACTGGACCTAATGGTCAGGGGTCCCTTTACCCTTTACCTTTTATGGGAGGGTGAAATACTGTTCTGTTAAAATCATAAAGTGTTTTGCAGTGGGAGTAGGGCATATTAAGACAGGGCTTCAAACCTGGAAGCTGTTCCCATGCTACAACTCAGAACCAAAACCTGCACAGTAGTGATACATGAGCACGTGCAGAGTGCATCTCGCGTTTGGAATAAGAAATACAGGATCTGCGATTAATGGTTTCCGGACCGACTTAAGCCCCTGCATCTCTCTTTCCTTCAGTCTTTTTAGAAGAGTACAAGCTTTCACTCAAATATTCCTGTGCTCAGTACAATGTAAATCCTATCAAGGTTACTTACTTCCAAGTAAATGCTTTTAGGATGGAGGTGGAAAACATGGTAACATATATGAATGAAATCTGAATTCACATCTAAATGGTATATTTAGAATAAAGGGTATTTTTTTGATCCTGCATTCAGAATTATTATTGTTAATGTACAGTCCTATAGAATAGAATGCAATTGACTAAGAGCTGTCTTGACCTACAGCTGCCAGAATGAGTTCCTCAGCGGGAGAAATGGTAAGGAATAGCGTGATGAGGTTTATCATACCGAATGAAGCATCTGCGCTGATGGGGGGGGGCAGTCTTAGGAGTGATGGAAAGAATCCAGCTTGCAAGCATCTTTAGGTGATGCAATTCAGTAAAAAAAAACCACCACTAACAACACTTGACAATCCTATTTGAAAAGAAAGAGGTGGGCCAGGTATTATTGTCACTGATCTGCACCCCCACCCGAATTTGCAATATTAATAATCATAAAGAGGAAATGACTGCAAAAAGAGAAAGTGTTAAAATGTCAAAAAGGCCTCCCCCCCCCCACCCCTACCCCCATCCCTTGAAGCATGCAAAGGTTCTGGGATTCGAGCCTGGTGCTTTAACTTTTTTAATAACGATTTTTTTCCTGGGCTGTGAGCTTGCACTGAATCCTGGAGGAATTGCTCAATCAGATTAAGGTTTATATTTTGCAACAGACTGGATGGAGCAATAAAGGAGAGAGTGCGGAAATGGGACTTCACCCATCAATTAGATCTCTATTAGCAGCCAATGCAGGCTTCACCACAGGAAATGTCATATCCCGGCAAGCAGAGCTTGGTCGCTTCCCTCCCCCATTTCCAACCTCCCACCCCCCACCCCCCACTTCAGAAATTAGCCAATTCTTCTTGCTCAGAGAGAGCCAAATTTAAACAAGCCTTTTGTTATTTGGCTGTGTGCGCGTTTTTGTTTTGTTTTTTAAAAAAAAAAAAACAGCACCTGCTTAGTTAGCCAAGAGCAGAAGAAACATCAGGAGATCTCAGTGTGAACAGGTTGCTTAGAAGGACACCTGCACAACCAGCGCAGAAAATGGAGGCTTTGTTTATTAATATTAAAGGATTTATTATAGTCATAAAGCGGGCCTGAGTTAAGGGCGATTAACAACACAATGGGTAATATTTTGAATACCAGCCCAGCTCATCTGCCCCCATATATCATATCTGCCAAAGCCTTTTCTTTCTTTCTGGTTGGGGGGGGGGCGGGTTTAAAATATGACAATGCACTGTAGTGCCAAAACACACAGGCGTTTTGCCTGTTTTTATTCTCCTGTTTGCAGAGTCGAGACTAAGATGCTTGACGTATTTCTCTGCGTCCCAGTTATAAACCCTTAGGAATGAAATATTTTGAAAATAACAGGGTCAACACTAGCTACATGTATTCATGATGTGGGAATACCAATCCCCTTGAATCGAAGAGGCGCCAGGCCCTTCAATTTCATTAGGTTTGGGCTGCTAATTTCAGCTTACGTTTTTCGAAGTTCAATGGCAATTTAAACAACAACAACAACAACAACAAATTAACGAAGGGCTCGTTCACTCATTTGGCTACCGTACTTGATTTCTGATCAGTTGACTGTTTGCCCTTTATGACTGGAGGCTGCTCAGCGTTTGAACTGTTGTTATTTTGAAACTTTGGTTTTTGAGGTGCCAGCAAGTGAGAAGACCATAATGTCATTTGGTGGACTAATTCCATAGTTTAACTCTTAGTGAGTCGTTGCTGAATGGGTGGCTCATACTAGAATAAGTCCTATCATTAGGCCTGCCTCAAAAGGCAGCTGAGATTCTTCACATTATGAATTGCCTCGCAAACCTTGCTTCTCCTCCTAGTGGAGACAGCTTACTAACCCTGAGATTCTAGGGCAGTGTGGTCCAACCTGCGAGAGGCCTTTTTTTGGTGGCCACTGGCAATATTATTATTTTTTATTAAAAAAACCTGTGTCATGGGTTGTTAATGGAAGCACATACATCTGTAATATGGCAATTTAATTCAGTGTGTGACCCACAGGTTCTGTGTTAAAGTACTACAGCGGCCCACTTGGTGTGGAAAGTTGCACCACCCTGTAAGCTAGGACAACCTGCCAAACCGAACAGGCTTACAAAGGTTACAAGGGGAGCGGGTGGCACTGTGGTCTAAACTACTGAGCCTCTTGGGCTTACTGATCGGAAGGTTGGTGGTTCGAATCCCCACAACGGAGTGAGCTCCCATTGCTCTGTCCCAGCTTCTGCCAGTTCGAAAGCACACCAGTGCAAGTACAGTCATGCCTCTGGTTGTGAACGTGATCCGTGCGGGAGGCACGTTCGCAGCCTGCAGCGTTCGCAACCTGAAGCACTACACGCGTGATGCAATTTGGCGCTTCTGTGCATGCGCATGATGTCATTTTGTGTTTCTGCGCATGTGTGAGCACCGAAACGCGGAAGTAACCCATTATGGTACTTCCGGGTTTGGCATGGTCTGCAACCCGAAAAGGCACAACCTGCAGCGTTCGTAACCTGAGGTATGACTGTAGATAAATAGGTACCACTGCGGCAGGAAGGTAAACGGCATTTCCGTGTGCTCTGGTTTCCATCACGGTGTTCTGTTGTGCCAGAAGCGGTTTAGTCATGCTGGCCACATGACCCCGAAAGCTGTCTGTGAAGCAAGATGAGCGTCACAACCATAGTCGTCTTTGACTGGACTTAACCATCCAGGGGTCCTTCATCTTTTTTTAGAAAGGTGACAAAGACACCCTTCACTGGCCAGCTTTCCTTTCCTTTCCACCGCCCAAGACCCCCAAAGGCCCAGCCTGCCTTCACCTACGCCCCTTCTAACTGGGGGCAGGCGGCTTGCGCCACCGCTTATCAGCTCATACATTGGATTTTTTTTACACGTGAGGAGGGCTCGTTTCGCGAGAGAAAGGCCCGAGCAGCACGACGACGCCTCCTCTCCCGTCCCAGCCGTCTGAAGTGGGGCAGCCCGACCCAGGGACCCTGCTGGAGGGAGGCGTTGCTTGGGCGCGCCAGGTCTCCGGCGCTGCTCCCAGCCGGCTCTCCCTTCCCCCTCGCCAAGGTGCGAGCGAGCGAGGTGCTGCTGCTGCCCGGCGCATAAAGAGCCTCTCTGTTGCGCCTTCCCGAATTCAAGCGGCCCAGCTGAAGCTGCCGCCGCTTGCTGCTCCTTCTTCTCCTGCATAAAGCGCCTTTATGTGGCTCCAGACTCCTCCGGAGAGCAGCCCGCGGCGCGGCTGAAAGGCGCTTTGAGAGGCCGGCGAGCGGCGGCGCGGAGAGCCGAGCGCCCCCCTGCCGGCCTGAGTGGCACCGAGTGCCCCGCCAGGGCTGCGCGGGGCGGCGGGGCGGCCATTAGCATGCGCGCGGAGTAGCCGGAGGGAGGGAAGCGAGGAAGGCCGCCTCCGGGGCTCAGCCACCTGGACGGCCCCGACGGCCCCGCTGTCTCCTTCTCCCGGGCGCCATCCTTTCCGCCGTGGCGCGATCCTGCGCGCTCTGCGCTGGGAAGGAAGTCTCGCTGAGTTCCGTAGGACCTGCTGCTTAGTCGCCCGCAGCTTCTCTGTGGCTGCAGCAAACCTTGTACCACTTGATTCTCAAAGCGCCAACTTCATGCACGTCAAGTTGCTTTTGTTCATTTTTAGCCATAAGGTGGATAAAACCTGGTCTTACATTCTGTAGTGTGATGGTTTTGGAGCCAAGCCTATCCTTTTCTGGCTAGCCCAACGCCGCTGTGCTTGTCATTACCCTTGTGCCAGAGGGGTGGGGTTGTAAGGGGGAAAGTAAATGGAATAATTGATATTTCTAATTCCAGAACTTCTCAGAGATGGAGAAACTTGTTTCAGCTCGGGTTACAAAATTCAATTAATAGTAAGAGCAGCTTTCACTAGATCCTCCAGAGGAAGCTGTATTCTGCAGGTCACGGGTTACTGTACTATCCATTAACTGATAGCGTTTAGCACTTAGCATTGTTGGATTACTGATAGCAGGCTAAAGAAGAAGAACATTTCTGTCTTTCTTGTTACATGGTAGGGGACATTTTATTGAAATCGTTGGGACCAGCTTTTAAGTAAATGTATTTAGAATACGACAAGATATGTTCAGGATATGATCTCACCATAACTAACCAGAATGGGAGCCAACAGCAAAAGTCTACCCATCTACTGTCAGTCTGTAAGTAATTTTGTCCCTGCAGTCTGTACTTCTCCATCTTATTTTTTTAAACATTATGAACATTCTGTGGATGTGTGTGCATGAAAGGAGCAAGCAAGAGTGATACATAACACCAGCCTCGATCCAGGTTAGCTGGAAACAGAAACTGTTCTGCAGTCTAATCCTATGCGTAACTCAAATGTAAGCCCTTCTGCGTAAAACTTTAAGCCAAAACATGTAATAGTTGTCACAGGTAAAGCACTTGCTTGTGTAAGAGATACACATACTTTCCATTACATTATTATTATTATTATTATTATTATTACTACCACCACATGAATCAATCTACAGTCGTACCTTGGATCCCAAACGCCTTGCGAGTCAAACATTTTGGCTCCCGAATGCCACAACCCCGGGAGTGTTCCGGTTTGCGAACATTCTTTGGAACCTGAACGTCCAGTGTGACTTCTGCGACTTCTGATTGGCTGCAGGAGCTTCCTGCAGCCAGTTGGAAGCTGTGCCTTGGTTTTCGGATGTTTTGGAAGTTGAATGGACTTCCAGAACAGATTCCATTCGGCTGTATTTGATTATAGAGTTAGCATGTCAGGAGCTCACCTGGCCAAAGCACAGTTTGCTGATATGCTAATTCTAAACATGGACAAGCCTTCTCCTACAATGAATGTTTGTGTGTATATATAGCATGTGGAACTCTTATAATGGGGGTGCCTTTTACCTCTGGCCACATCTGTTTTGACCTTGTGCATGTATATAAGTGGATATATAAATTGTCATACATTTATTTGGAAGTGAGATTAATCTCAAGAAAAGTAAATGCATTTTCAGAATGGATTCTCTCTGTGCCTGTGGTTTAACAGGGTTTTGTTTATGTCGAGTGGAGGAACTCCTTTAAGGCAGCAACTAATAGCAGCGGCACTGGGAAGAGAGAAGGAAACAAGGGGAGAAGACTATTAAACACTTGAAACCCCCCCATCTCCTGAAATCCTTGCAGGCCATGCTAATTGGATCATCTACATCAGAGGAATGAACAAGGGAGTTCCAGAATGCAGAGCAGATCTGGGACCCTGACTTCTAAGGAGAGTTGTCAGGGTACGGTGCCTCTATAGCAGTGATTACAGGCAGTGGAAAATAAGGATGAGTCATCTACAAAAAGGAGAATATAGATGCTTGCAGGCCATCTCCTCCTTTGCCCATCTATCTGTCCTTCAAGATTCTGATTGTTATGTCACCAAGCCCACTAGCCTAGTGGTACTGTTATTTAATGCCAGATGGGTTCATAAGATCACATTCATACACAACTAGACAATAAACAATGGCTCCAATTTGGCATGTATTAGACCTAGTTGGACATAAATGGTCTGCCTCAGCTATGGCTATCTGGGTACTTGGTGGAATTGCTGTGGTCCATAAAGTTTTCATCTCATCAAAAGTCTTCTTCACCCTGGAATGGATTTTGAGGGCCTACATTTGATGTTGGGCCAAAGAGACAAACTAGGGAGGCTGATGGTATACAGACTGGCCTGCTACCCAGTGGGCTTCCTGACTGACTGAACTGGCGAATGTTTCGAGCACGGTTTTGAAGAACTCTGAAGGCAGTTGTCCTGGGTGACATTTGCACCGAAGCTACATTAGATGGGCCAGCTCAGGACATGGCCTCCATGACAACTATGGGGTTGTCTCAGTTTGTCATCATCACAACACACTGAGCAGGACACACCCTTTGTCTCAATGTAGGAGGGATGGCTTTGAGTTGTGGCGTGAGGCGGAATAATTGAGATAACTCCATTGTCTCCACCCTTAAGATGGTCTGTCCCTGGGGGATTTTCTGGCTGACAGAGCGGGTGATTTTTTGTCAAGCCTTTCGTTTCACCATGGAATGGTGAAATGTGACAGGTATTTGACACGATCAGTCCTGAGTGCCCTCACCAGCACTACAGAATCCGCAGGGCTCCTTGGTATTCCAGAGAGCTGCAGACAACCAAACAGGTCAGATCATGGCTGGAGCACAAACAGCATAGAACTCACTATAAGATAAGTTAGAGCACATTGACCCTGCCTATTGCTTGGTAGTGGTGGCAGAAAATAAAGTATGTTTTGCTGCCTCCGCTAACATTCTCAACTAGCCACCTGGCAGAGCTATTGGTGCAAGTCTTATTAGCATCTACCCTGGTGAATGGAGTGCTGGACCCCTTGGAAGCCTGCTGTGACATGTTTGCTAGGAGTGAAATTGCTCTCCTCAACACTGTTGTTGTAACAGATCCAGGGGTAGCATGCAATGCATGGTCTGCCCTAATTTTGTGGGATCAATTTCAGCTTCTGAAGCCTGAGAAGGTGGACAGCAGCTGAGATCAGGAACGCTTCAGACACAGTAAGGTATTTATAATGCCTCAAGAGAGGTCTTACGATGTCGGATGGAAGTCCCATGCAACTTAATTCCAGCTAAGCATGCTTAAAGAACTGCATCTTTTGTGACACACACGGTGACAATGGTAAGTGAGCTCCAGCCATGAAGAATCCAAGAAGAACACTAAATGAAAATGCTATGCTAGTGTTCTGACAATCCTACATTTTATTAAGTGCATTCATATATATACACGTTACTTAGTGGAACATATTGTCATCAGTGGTCATATACATGCCAATCCATAATTCCTTGAAGTAGACATATGTGCTAACTTGATGAGTCACACAGCTGAGTCATAGGTAGGTCTAGTAACCATACTGTAAAAATCTCAGGCATTCAACCACAGGAAGCTGAAGGACATTGATTAGAATACATCCTTATGAAAGGTGTTTTAGGTTTCAGTGTAACGGGCAAAGAGATATTGGTAGGGGCAGACATGGTTCTCTACGTGGTCTAAAGAAAGGTTGGAGAACCTGCAGCTCTTCAAATGTTGTTGGACTCCAACTCCAGTCTGGCCAATGATGATGGGAGTTGGAGTTCAATAACATATAGAGACCACAGCTTTCCCATCCGTGGTCTAAAGCTCACTGTTGGATATGTTTGAAGTTTAATTGTAAAAAATAAATTTTAAAAAGCAGCACATTTTAAGTGTATGTTCACGGTTGTTTTAATATTCAAGTCTTAAGAACATTATTAGTTCAGGTTAAATAGTCACTTTTTAAAGCAAAGGGAACTGGACCCAACAGTTTTCATACCAAATAGTTCATCTGCATACAGAATCAGTGAGTTGGCTAGAAATTTGGGTCCTCCTGAGAATTGGGGAAAAAACCAAAACCCAGGTACCCCTCCTGAAAACTTTTTGCCCTTCCATTTTAGAAGTCCAGATGAATGATTGTGAATTTTCTCAGTGTGACGCCTTTGATATTACTAAATTAAGAGAATAGTTGCTTTTCTGGAAACAACAACAACAATATCTGTGCTTCTTTTTTTCATTCCAACTGCACAAACCTTTTAGTTAGGATTATTAATAGGAAAGCAGGGAGAGGTGAGGGATTGCCAACTGACCAGAACACAAACAGCTCTTGTCTCTTTAGTAGCAGTTTGATGTGTCGATACTAGGAGGTAACATGGGAATAACTAAGCATTACTGGCTGCTGCTGCACATGTGGCAAACTCCAGAGAAAGGCAGAATTACATGGGTCCACTTCAGAAGATAGGGACACGGGTGGCGCTGTGGGTTAAACCACAGAGCCTAGGACTTGCCGATCAGAAGGTCGGCAGTTCGAATCCCCATGACGGGGTGAGCTCCCGTTACTCGGTCCCTGCTCCTGCCAACCTAGCCGTTCGAAAGCATGTCAAAGTGCAAGTAGATAAATAGGTACCACTCCGGCAGGAAGGTAAATGGCGTTTCCGTGAGCTGCTCTGGTTCGCCAGAAGCAGCTTGGTCATGCTGGCCACATGACCCGGAAGCTGTACGCTGGCTCCCTCGGCCAAAAAAGTGAGATGAGCGCCGCAACCCCAGAGTCAGTCATGACTGGACCTAATAGTCAGGGGTCCCTTTAACTTCACCTTTTACTTCAGAAGATGACAACCCTGTACTACAAGGATTCATTCTGGGATTTACAAATGGATCCATCCTGCAATATATCCAAAGTACACTGGCGTACATCCCAATCCTATATATCTTTGTTTGCGGGGTGGGGGGGCAGGGGGAGCTTCAGTCCTAAGTGCACGTGCCTAAGATCCGCACTCCACTTTTCAGCATCTAAAAGCTTCAGCCCTTTTTAATTGTTGCTGCACATTGGGCTGTGGGTAGAGCTATGGCTTACCTTTCAGGTTTGCCTTATTTAAAAGGCTGTTTGTCAAGTTCAAGAGCAAGTCCAGCCATTTCCTATTGCTTTAAAACTCAGCACAGCAAGCTCAGGCAGCAGTCATTAATGCAAACTATCATTGGTACCTAGAATAGGTTTTTGTTTTTGTTTTACATTCCAGCTACCTACAATCTCTTTATTCCTAAGATAAGGAAAAATGTTCTATTATTTGTTTTTGTTCCCGAAGGGAGGGGGGGAAGACTTTTTTGTATTCTGGAAAAAAAATTTAGTTAACTCTGTAGGGGGGGAAAGAGGTCAAGCTACTATTGACAAGTCTGTGAAGACATCTTCTAAACCATGGGAAAACATGGAGAAATTGTTTAGACTCACTGCATTCAAGCCCATTGGGGGTGAATTAGCAAAACGGGGGAAAAATGCATTCTCTTGCATTGTTGGCCTGAAAGCCTATCTATTTATCATCTCATAAGACAGCTCCAATGATCTTTATCTGCTTTGCCCACTTTCTGACCCAAATTCAGGGTTTTTTATGGAAAATTGCAGTCAGTTTGATTGATGAAATCCAAAGATGTCTAAAATGGCACCAAAGATCTCCAACTGTGCAGACTCCAACCGAGGGCTTCAATGTTGGCATTGTTCCTGCAGAGTGGAAAAAAAGTGGAGAAAATGAGCAAAAGTTAGGGAATTTCTGTTTAAGAAAACTTCAAATTTCAATGAGGATCCCGAAAACCATTATCCTTATTCACACAGGGGCGAAGTGGGTGAACGTCCCAGGGATTTCCCACACATGGGGACAACAAAACCCAGCTTTTCAACCATGCTGGCTTTGTAAAAAGCTAAATAGCCATCGCAGGAAAGAAAGGGAAGTGACTCTCATGTTAAAATCAAATATTAAACAGAGGGTTGGAAACCAAATCTAGGTCCAAAAAGAAGGGAGGGGGCCTTGGGATTGATTCAATCAAATTTAAGCTTAGATCCCATTAATTTCCATAGCAGACTTAAGCACATGCTGTACAGCCCAATCCTATGTTGGTTTACCTGAAAGTAAATCACTGGGAGAATTAAGCATGTGCTCAACTTCCTCTGACTGAAACCGAGAAGCAGGCTTACTTAGCTAGGTGCCTATGTGTTTGTTTTAAGTCACTAATTTCTTATTGAAGTTACTATGTGAGTCACATATCCTTTCATTTCCTGATTCTCCTTTCCGTTAGTACATGAAACTATAGCCTTAATGAAAGCACAAAGGCAATTTTCCGTATAAATAATGTTCCACTCCCCCCTGAAAGCAATAAGGTCTAGACCTTTGTTTCTTCATTGGGACCATTTAACAACACTCCCTCCCACCAGTGGTCAGGCCCCTAGCAACTAGGAAGTAATAGATCATAAAAATCTATAACAGATCTTAAGAGAGCAGGTGGCGCTGTGGCCTAAACCACTGAGCCTCTCGGGCTTGCTGATCGGAAGGTCGGTGGTTTGAATGCGATGGGGTGAGCTCCCGTTGCTCTGTCCCATTGCTCTGTCCCAGCTCCTGACAACCTACTAGTTCAAAAGCATACCAGTGCAAGCAGATAAATAGGTACCACAGCAGCAGGAAGGTAAACGGCGTTTCTGTGCACTCTGGTTTCCGTCACGGTGCCCCTTTGCACCAGAAGCTGTTTAATCATGCTGGCCACATGACTCGGAAGGCTGTGGACAGGTGTCAGCTCCCTTGGCTGCAAGTGAGATGAGCGCTGCAACCCCATAGTTGCCTTTAACTGGACTTAACTGTCCAGGGGTTCTTTACCTTTACCTTTTACCTAGATCATGAAGAAAAGTGCCTCTGAGCATGTACCATGTGCCTTTGAGCAACTGCAGCTTGTTGGAATTTGGGAGCTGGTCTTTCAGGAGAAATGGAGGCCAAAGCCTGGGCAGGGCTCATCCGAACACTTGGAGAACTGCTCATACCTCCCTGGAGGACATTATGAGAACACAGCTCAGGATTTTCTTTGTGGGAATGCTAAACCGCTGACCACTTATGCTGGTGCTGCTGCCTGCGAAATCTTACAGCTCTGCTGCATTCCCAACCATACCTGTTTGCTACCATCGTTCCCCGAAAGTAAGACATCCGCCGAAAATAAGACCTACTTCCAGTTTTGCCTCTCGCTGTAATATAAGGCATCCCCCGAAAATAAGGCCTCCCCAATAATAAGGCCTCCCCTGAACATAAGGCCTCCCTGGAATATAAGGCCCCCAAAGCTACTGTAAGGTGTCTGACTCCTCTGGAACCATAGCGGTGGGTGCCGCCACGCAGCTCACTGATTGGCCGCAGCGCAGCCGGAGCTGTTCAGGCAGTGCAAAGTCTCTTTAAATCAGAGAGCCGCCGCCACCGCCAGAACAAGCTGCCGCCTGCTGCTCGCTCTGCCCTGAGTCTGGCTGACTCACAATTAGACAATAAATGTGTGCCGTATTCTTCTTCATGGAAAAATAAGACATCCCCTGAAAATAAGACCTAGAGCATCTTTGTGAGCAAAAATTAATATAAGACACTGTCTTATTTTCGGGGAAACAGGGTATCACCACGGACTAGGGAAGTGAGGGCAGAGTTGTTCAGCAACAGATCCATGTTTGGGGAAGGAGGCTCGCTCGAGACCGCAGCAACCTTGTGGAAGATGCTTGCCTGCCTGATGGCTGGAGGTTCCAGCTCCTCTTCTTTATAGTGGCCAGAATGAGGCTCCTGGATGTGTAGCCAAGACTTCGTATTTGATGAATGAAATCTCTCTCTCTCTCTCTCTCTCTCTCTCTCTCTCTCTCTCTCTCTCTTAAGGAAAAGCGGGGCAGGGAGGCATATTGGGAGCTGTCTCCTGTCATGTTCCCCAAAGGGGCCGACTATAAATCTTTCTTCATTTTAACCACGATTAACCCTCCCTTTCTCCCCTCCTCCTCCTCCAGGCGAAGCAAGGCTGCTGTGTTAAGCGGGCCCTGATGTGCCAATGCTTTGGACCAGCTGCTCCTAACTAGAGACAAGCCCTTGTCAATTAAGCCATTGAAGAGCAGGCCCTGGGAGCCCCGGGGCGATTGCAGCAGCCAAGCAGTGTGCAGCCCCTGCAATTAGTATCCATTTGGAAGGGGACCTCTAGGCCGCCAATGCACAGGGAGGCAGGCGGGCGAGCGCAGGGCGGAATCGAAAAGACCATCAAGCAGCTCTGGTGGCAGAGAGAGAGGACAAAATGGACTGCCATGATATTAAGCAGACCCCCAAGACATATGAGAGAGCCAATTTTTCCGGAGATAGGGGGCTATTGCTTCCTATTCTCCTGCATGCAGCAATTTAAAAGGGGGCAAGGGGGGAAAGAAATAAACAAGCATCACTGGTGGCAGGGAAGATCAATGGGCACATTCATTGGCCTGGGAGCAGAGGGTTTTCTCCCTTTGTGACTGGGGTGTCACCTCCAGGCAGCTGGTGGCATGCAAGGCTCCCACGGCGTTGGCCTTTGGCCCGGGGGAACTGGACAAGGCAAGGGGAGAGCGGCTGATGACTCAGGTCAGAGAGGCCAAGGCATCCGAAGGCCAAGGCAGCCCCGCAGCTGAACAAAACCGCCCAAAGAGCGCAGGGGAGCCCGGGGGATCATTAGTGGAGGGGAAGGTGTTTGTTTAAGTCATTAGGAAGTTGGTAGCTAGGGATCGGGGCGAGGCAGGCAGGCAGAGGGTAACCCGGGCCTAGACTCCGTGACCCCCACCAAGTTCAAGAACAGAGCAAACATGCAAAGGCCATTAAGAACAGCAGTCGACTCAGAGGCCACAATGGCGAAGGAGGGGAGAAGACGAGATCGGGCCTCCATGCTGGGAGAAAAGGAGGAGGCGGGAAGGGGGAGCGGAGGGCAGCGGGTCAATGAAAGTCAACAGGAGAGCAGGCTTAATGATGGCAAGGATTTAATATCAAAAATCCATAAATCTGCCGGCTCCCAATGGGCAGACAAGGAGACAGCGTCCGAGTCAACATTCCCCCAGCAATAGACACCCAAGGAGGTCAGCCGCAGAAGCCCCCCGGGCCGCACTGCTTGGAAGGCGAACGGGAAGGGCAGAAGAAAAGGCGACCCCCCTTGGAGGGAGCGAGGCACGGATGGGGCCTGGTGGCGCTGAGCTAGGGCCATTTCCGAATGGCTTTCAGATCAGTAGAGGGGAGGCTGCTGTGATAGGATGCCCAGCATGAGGGCTACATCCAGGAACCTGGCTTTGCAGAGGGGGAGATGCAAGTCTTTGGCTCCAAGGTAGATGGGAGCTCAGGTGCATGAATGCTGAGAAAGTGAATATGCAGGGCTGCTTCCAGGTCATGTTGTTGACTGGCATTTGTTGTGGAAATGTTCAGGGATGCAGGAGAGGATATATTGTTTGATTATAGCCTTTCCAACTTGTGTTAACAAGTTCACAATTTAGCAGAGTAACATTCCCCTTTTTAAACTCACAGCGGATGCGTTTGCTCAGGCTCGCTGAAGCCTCTATAATAACTGTCCTGGTATTTCCCCCTTATTCCCTCATAAAAGATAAGACATGACACAGTCTTCTATAAAAGTATAAAAAGAGTTTACTCACTCACATTCTGTTCACAATCGGATCCCAGCAAGCAGACTTCGCTTAGAAAAGTAACATGCACCTGGAAACTATCCCATAAAGAGACAGCCCCTTTGTCCTCTCTTGGCTGGAGGCCAAGGGAGCATCTTTGGCTAAGCAGATGTTGCTTCTTCGACGAAAGTAGTCATAGAGAGAGAGATGGTGGGCAGTCCTATGCTTTTGTTACCTGCGCAGGTGAGGCCACGCCCACCTCTGGTCACATGTACAGGAAGTCTGTCCCAGGCAGGAGAAATAGGAAGTTCCGACTGGCTGGTCCAGACATCCCCTT